TTGGAGGTTTCACAGGAGAGACGTCGCGATCAAAAGGGCGGAGACCAAACTGCTTGCGAGGCATGGACGCCACCGAGATAGGAGAGGGTGCTCCAATACGGGTGGCGAGTCCAGGCGTGGAGACTCAGGGCTGCGGGTCAGCAACTCCACAGTCCGTGAGGAGAGTATGGAGCTTCTGCACCATAGCCGCGAGTAGCGCTTGTGGGTGGCAGCGCGCTTGCATCCGGAGGTGCAGCTGCCTTTTAGGGCCCAGGCCATACAGACGTCCTGACCACCGTGCTTGGGAATGGTTGTACTGATGGTCCTTGGTCATTTCCGTGATTGTGCGGAATCCCGAGTCCTGGAAACGCTTCAAGAGGTCTTCATCGCCGTGGACGTTGGTGACTGGGTGTGCTCCCGCTCGCTGTTGGTTCGCTCCGGCAGGCTTCTTGCTCGGCGGTTCGGGAGCGGGCTTGAAGAACGAGTACCAGTGAGCAGGGAGCTCAGCGAGGGACGAGGCACGGGAGACTGAACGAGTCTAGTCAGCGCACCAAAGTTGGGGGCTGCAGCGCCTGGGTTTAGGATAGCTTTGTTGACCCACAGGAAGTAATCTTGTTGGACCTGAAAAGGATGCGACCGCACAAGTCCACCGCCACACTCGGTGGTCAGCATGCAGGCCATGGATGGTGTGGAGGTAGGATCCCAGCGAGAGGCCACATCACGCACCGAGCGTGAGACGGGATGGTTTCCTCCATGGAAGACTCTATCATGATGGAGAAACCATAGAGTTTTTCCTCCGCAATGCGACCATCGGTGGGAAACTTGACGTCGGTGGAAGTGATGGCAATGGCATCTTCCAAGGTGACCGAGGCTCCCTTCTCAACGTACTCCGCTCGAGCAGCAAGTCCTGGACGCCTTGCTTCCAAATGGCCTTGGCACACCAACTGAGAAGGGGGAAGGCCTTCGCCCAAGGTGGTCCCTACCGTTCACGAAGTACTTGCGGAAGACACGGTCCAGAATGTTCCAGTGACCAAGGGTTTGTTCGCGGAGGTTAATGGGTAGTGCCGAAGCCTGAGTGCGTTCGTCTAGTTGAGCTTGAAGATCCCGTGTTCATTCCTTTGGGGGACTTCCGAGCAGACGGTGAATGACGGGAAGACTTGCGTCATCGGCCACGTTGCAGAGTTGTGGACGCGAGTGGCTAGGGCGACTCCGAATTTATCCGTGAAGGTTTTGTTGCTCTTCTCACGGTCATACTGGAGTTGTTGTTCAACGGTGGCCTCCAGTGTATCACGTAGGTTCGTGATTCCCGCGTTGAAGGTTGCGTTGGTCAGGCCTGGACCTACCGCGCCAAGCGCCGCCATGTAGGGGGAGAGTACCCGGTTCGTGCTTCGTTGGAGCGCGTTTGCGCTGATGGGCGCGGCCACGTTAGCAGCAGCATTACTAGTGGACGTGTGACCTCCCACGACCACGTGCAACAGGCGCGGAACCATTGGACCAAAGGGGCGATGGCAGCCTGTCGTGCAGGATCCGCGTGAGTCATCTCGGGAGTAAGGACTTCCGCACGGAACTGGGGAAGACTGTACTGTCCTTCGGGACGGGCCACGAGGACGGCTTCAGAGAGATAGGACAGGAAGAGGCATCACACGACGGACCGGAAGACATCAGTGTCCGCGACACCACGCCGTGGGGGCCACTGTGTAGCACAGGAGCCGGCACGGCGGTAACATCGTTCCTCCGTCAATAATTGTCATATTGTGGCAGGTTATGTCAGCCGTGCGTTCGAACGCTGACATGGGAAGGACCACCGTGATAGCGCTTCGAGATCGTTCCCCACCACGATGGCATAGAGATTGTCGTAAGGAGAAACCTGGCTAGGATTCACGGGGTAGGCGTAGAGTGAGTGTCCATGTAGATATTCGTTTCATCATTTTGGAGGACGAAGCCAAAAGTGACAGGTGAACGAAGGCAAAATTGGCTCATACGCGAGAGGCAACATCACGATTTGCATTGAGGCGCCGCCCACAGAAGTAGGTGAGGATATCAGTGTAGTTGTAGCATGTACTCCCATGCGCTGCACGAGGACGAGATCCGAAAAATTAGAGCTGGCCATGGAGGGTCGAAAAGATACGAAACCTGATGCCGGCGCAAGAGATTAATCTAATAGTTCTTGCTTAGCGTCGGCTGAATGAAGAATTGTGAGCTGAGAGAGAGACAACCTTCTTGCGATCGGCAGTTCAATGGCTGATCTTGGCTAGGTCCTGGCTTTAGTGATTCATGGTTTGCCGCTGTGATCTTGCAAATGTGGTCTTGGACGGGCGTCATTGCCTTAAGGGTAATCTTGTTCGAGAGGCATGAGGAGCTGATGCGGTGCATCATCAGTGGGGTATCCATTTCCGGACACAGGTGATGACCTGCGAGATGTAGAGATGTACTTGAGTTGTAGGTGAGGAGCGCGGGAATTAATTTTGCAATTTGTGAGAGGGTCCTCTCGGCAACCATGATTAGGGTCATAGTTGCGAGAACCCATCAGGGTTCAAGTTTCCACGCTGCGGGGCGTGGAAACTCGGACGGGGGTGTTCCCCAGGCGTGTTGCTGCTCAACACTCAGAATCAAATGTCACCACTGGAATTTGGAGGGAAGTGGCCTTGGCGATGACTGGTACCAAGCTATCTGCATTGACAGCTAAAATAGCCAAGCCTGCCAATGGCTGTACACCAGTGGTATGATTGCGGAGTAACTCTTCTAGCAGGGCCACTTGAAGGGCCCCAGAGGAATCAAACTCTGGTGGCCCAATATAGAGGCACGCCACACCCAACCGCTCTGCTGTGTCATGGCAACCTTCACCACTCACATCGAAAAAGGGATTGTTTATGCGCTTGGGGACCAGCGCAAACGTCAGCAGCTGAGAAGTAGGCTCCCCTTCCAACGATTCTTCTGCTTCGGATATAATGGAGAACTCCATCGCCTTGTGTCGCAATTGGTTGCGCCTCTTCTTCGTGGCTGCCGCGACGAGGGAATCACTCTGGTGGAGTGGCGTCCTCTCCCAAGAAAAGTGCTTCGGACTCGTCCTCCAATTTGCGGATGCATCGTGGGATCACTTGCGTTACTGGTGCGTCCATTACCGACGGCCAACATCACCATGGTGGCGACCGTGGAAAAGAGCAGCAACAGCAGTAGCCTGGCTTTCATTGTCGCCTATCTTTGCTCTGCAGGCGGTTCAACCAACAACTCTGAGACTTCAAAATAATGGGAGGATCCAGCAGCTCAGGATGAACGAGGAGAACCAATGGATTGGTGGGGTGAATGGATCGAATGGGAAGTGCCAAGCAAAGTTGACTCAGATACATGTTCCTGTTCCTGTCTGAAGTACCAGGTACTGTACTTACTTTCAGAAGTCATCGTACACGAACAGGAGGTGTCGGTGGAGAGTGGCCAGATTGCTAGTACCAGCAGTGGGGTTGGAGAAAATCCCATGACAAACAAGGTAAACCATGACCAAGACAAGTGGTAGATACTGAATAGTGGTTGAATATGGTAAACCATATCCATTTCAAAGAAACACCGATCAGCAGTGGTTTGCGATGGATGCTTCAACCCAACAGGATGGCCATGGGATATGGGATGGAGCTGATTTTCTCCACCCCCCTCAATAATCCTGAAGTATCCTTGATGACTCTTTGTAGCAAAGCAGGGTGTACTGTTGTTAATTCCGTATTCTGCTCGGTCGATGACCACTTGATCCAGAATTCTCTGCCTCGTGCTTTGTCTCGGGAAACGTTTAATGCTCAGTTTCCCTTAGACCGCAGAGGCTTCTAAAGCAAGCTCAAAGCAGCAGAGAAGCAGCACAGCTAATGTATCACGCGCAACGTAGATTGGCAGAAACACACAATGCCAGCAGCTATGCCAGCTTAGGCTGTACCGGTACGAACAGCATCAGTCCGAAGAAAGCCCTTCGAGCTCTTCGGAGCTATGTAGTTTGCCAGAGTCGAGTCGAGTCGAGTCGTTCGAGAGAGAGAGAGTAAGGCGTGGCATGCCATCCCATGTCCTGGCGCGGCATGATGGATATGAAAGCTCGAACTTGAGAGGCTCCTTAATGGACTTCTTCTACTTTGTTTTCGGTGAGTTGGCTGGTGCCTGCGTTTCTTTACTGTCGAGGTGCGGTACATACATTCTATGACAGGATTCTTGCACCTAGCTCCGAACAAGTTGCACACAGCCAGGGCGTTGGTTGCGGACTGCAGACTTGCAAACTTTCATTCAGCTGGCAACTGTTATGTTGGGTGCTGGTCAGGGCGTAGCTACTATGTAGCTAGTAGTGTAGCTACTAGCTAGCTAGAAGGAGTACTCTGGACCGTCCGGCGGTTTTCACTCAGGATTTAAAAAATTTGAAATTGCCACCACTGATAACCGTTTTTAAACAATCCTTTAAACAATCGCTTAACTCATCAACAATCCCTTAAACAATCCCTTAAAAAAACAATCCCTTAACATCAATCCCTTAAATATTGGACTATCCCTTAAACAATCCCTTAATGCCAAATGGAAACACCATACAACTATCCCTTATTGCTTCAACTATCCCTAAAACAATCCCTTATCAAACAATCCCTTAACCAACAATCCCTTAAATCTGCAACAATCCCTTAAACAATCCCTTAACAAACAATCCCTTATAAACAATCCCTTACACTTCTGATTCAGTCGTGTCCGTTTTTAAAGCCTGAGTGAAAACCGTGGAACGGTCCAGTACCCGGTTCCAGCCTACTAACAGTACCTGTTGCTGCGTGTTGGCTCGGGAAGCTTCCCAAATGAGTTAAGGCTCTCACCAGAAGCAGTCATCAAGTTCGCGAGTAAATTAGGACTAAATCCTCTGTCTCTTCAACTAGGCTATTGAGTCGTTGATTCTTCAGGTCAATCGCAGAAGGGTTTATCACCTTCTTTGCCAAAATGCGGAAGTTGCAAGCTTGTCTCTTATTGCTTTGTTGAAGAAGCTCAAGCGGACCAAGTTCCACTAAGAAGCTGACTTCCTCAGAATTTGTAATGAAGTTCCAGCCAGCAGCTCCCAAAACTGTGGCGGTGCCTCGCAAAACCATTGTTCCTTTGCTATTGGACGACTGCAGGCTACAGTGGATAAAACAATCTCAAGGAAACGGAGCAAGATGATGGAGACCAGGTTTTTGTTGATGGTACTCTTCTCCACAGCCACCATTCTAGTCATGGTGGCCGTTGGTTCGGGTACAGCAAGCCATGGGAGCAGCGAGCTCGAGGCTCCGCCCCTCCGGAATGGCGTGGGAAAAGAGTTTGGAATCACCTTCAGGGGGAGAGGCCATCATTCCACGAGGTTGATTCCGTCTCTCTCCGCCGCCAAGCGAGAAGCCAGCTTCTCCAAGGGCGAAAAACACCACCTGCGTCGCAAGGCAGTTGAAATGATAGTTATGGGAGGGGGGCAACCAGGAGCAGAAGAGCCTACTTCTCAGCTGCTGACGTTTGCCTTGATTCCCAAGCTCATGAACAATCCATTTTTCGATGTGAGTGGAGAAGGTTGCCATGACACAGCAGAGCGGTTGGGTGTGGCGTGCCTCTATATTGGGCCACCAGAGTTTGATTCCTCTGGAGCCCTTCAAGTGGCCCTTCTGGAAGAGTTACTCCGCAATCATACCACGGGTGTGCTGCCACTGGCAGGCTTGGCTATTTCATCAGTGAATGCCGAAAGCTTGGAACCAGTCATTGCCAAGGCTACTTCCCTCAAAATTCCAGTGGTGACATTTGATTCTGATGCTCCTCAGACAGACCGCCTTGCTTACATTGGCACAGACAACTACTTTTTAGGGACGCAGCTGGCCAAGACACTCAAGCAGATCCAACCAAGCAGGCCAGGGACCTTTGGTATTGTATCAGGATTATCTCCCAACCTTGTGGAACGAGAACAAGGCGTTCGGGATCACTTGGTCAAGGAAGGATGGATCGAAGTGGGCACATCACCTGCAGACCACAATGCCAGTTCTACAACAGTTGTGGACAAAATGTTTGGCTTTGTGGAGCAACACTCACCCACAGCCATTATCCCTGTCATGGGTGCTGGTATGAGAGCACCCGACAACTACTGGCAGAAGTTTGCCAAGACGCATCCAGAAGTACTGCTTGTTGTGGGTGATGCTATGCCCAATCAACTCGAGCTACTTGATAGGCAGTTCTGTGATGGATTGGTGGGACAGCTTCCGTATGAGATGGGTGCCCTGAGCATTGAGACACTGCTCAAGTTCTCAGAAGATCCAAACTATGAAACAGATGAATTCATTGGAACCAATGTATTGGAACACTTGTTGATTCCCCTAATTTTGCCAGAACATGTGGTTGACCATAACTTGGTGGGACAACTTCGCTATGTGGGATACACCTTGTTTGCCATTGTTGCCATCTTGGCCTTGGGCTTTTCTACTTGGACATGGGTACATCGCAATGTGAGGGTAGTCATGGTGTCACAGCCAAAATTCCTTGTAATGGTGGCACTTGGGGTTCTCATCATGATCTCAGCAGTCTTGGTGAGTCATGAACATCACTCACTTGGTCTGATCATAGGGGTGTTTTTCTTTTCTTGCTCATGTTGATATTGCTTGTGCTTCTGCTCCTGTCTTTTCAGCCAATGGGATTTGATGACTACTATGAAACCAACAATGAGAGTAATCAGTATACCAATACCAGTGATGAAAGCAGCAGTCGCCGTGGTGTAGCCATGTGCATGACTCCTGTTTGGCTGTTGACACTTGGATTCTCCTTGATATTCTCTTCACTGGTTTCCAAAATCTACCGAGTACACAAGCTCTTCCAGAGGGCCACAAGGTTCTCCCACTTGCCCACTAGAGAGTGGGATTCCCTGATTCCACTCATTGCTCTGCTTGTGGCCAACTGCACTATCCTCATTTCGTGGACTGTAGTGGACCCTCTTCGGTATGTGCGAGTTGAGCATGATGGAACGGATGGGTGGGATCGACCTGTCAGCACCTATGGCATGTGCCAGTGCAACAAAACAGTTGCCTTTCTGGTGCCACTGTGTATTGTGAATGGATTGGTTCTGGTCTTTGCCAACTGGGTTGCCTACAAGGCGCGGTCCATTAATGAGGAGTTTGCTGAGAGCAAGTACATTGCTGTTACCATGGCCAGTATGTTGCAGGCATTCCTTAGTGGAGTTCCCATATTGGTTGTGGTGCAAGAATCTCCTCAAGCATTCTACATGGTTTCAGTCTTCATGATCTTCATCACATGTTCTGTCATCCTTCTCCTGATCTTTGTCCCAAAGATTGTTCTCTACCAGCACTTCTCCAGTCAACCAGAGCATGTCCAACGAAGTCAGATCACGCAATCCATTAGGAGTTCTGTTAAACAACGACCCCTCCGCTCAAGTTTGAAGCAGCACAACGGACCATCATATGTGTCATCCCTTGATGATTCCTTCTCCAACCGACCACAGGAAGCAGCATTATTTGTGTTGCCTTCGATACTTGAACCAGACCACGATGACTCCTTTTCAGCTGCTGTTTCGGAACAAGCCTTGAGTCTTGCGTCATCAAAGATTCAAAAGAAGGCCCGTTTCTCAGAAGAGACAATTCAGGCTGATATGAAGAAAAGACCCACAGACATTTTGAGGAGTGTCAGCCAGAATACAGATTCTTGGGGTGGGGCAAGCTTGTCCGGGTGCGAGCCCATCCCTTCATCTCCCATAACTTCAAAGAAGTCTGTGGATGTATTGCAGAAGACAACTTCTTGGGGTGGGGTGAATTTGTCACTGGCGACGAAGGATGACTCCTACAGCAATCGTTCGACAGAAGATTTCCATGATGAGGCTGACTGTCCAGGTCCTAACCAGAAGCCTGTGGATGTTTTGAAGGGGGGCACATCCTGGGGTGGGGCACACTTGTCCACGCTTGACGACTGTCACTCCATCAGCAATGGTGAGGAGGACGACTTTTGTGATGAATCAGGCAATGACACAACTGAACCAGAACCCAACAGTGCTGGCGACGGCAGCGCAACAGTTGAAGGATCGGAGGGAAAGGGAGGCATGGGGGCCTAACAACAGCAATTGACAAGTTCAGACCTTGCTACAGGAAAGTACCAACGACTTTTTTGTGTTTTCTTCTTTGCATGGTAACCAAGAAAGGTCATCCTGCAACTTTGCTAGGTACTTTGTCTTGTCCGGCTACAAGGTTGGTTGCTCCTAGCGTCTATTAGGCATACTGGAATTCGGAGGGATCGCTACATTGTAATGGCAGATCCCAAAATTAGTTGTCGTTTAGGAAACACGAAACGTGGTCTCGTCCTCTATCTTTTATGGCCTATTCGTATCCGAATTCACCATTCCGGACACGTTGCTCGTCTCGTCACAAGCCTCCATCTTTTTACACCGCTCGAGGAATGGATTTGGTTTGTCCTTTTTGGCAAAGGTGCCCATTGGGCTCTTGCCTGACTTGCAGGGGATTGCGAGGGCAACGGAGCCTGTACCCATGGTCCAATCCGGTACGACGGTCGGCTGCTCGGTCAGGTTGAAACGAGTCAGGCTGAAATGAGTGTCGATGATTTACATGACATTGGTGTATCTTGTCCCAATCTTCCACTGGTCTGGTAAATGTCATCAAGGGCACACATTGCCACGAAGATTTGAGGACGCAAGTGTAACCCGCCAACACCGAGTTCACTGCCGATGAGAGTTGCGTTTCGTTGATATACGGATCCACTGACATAGAGACGCCCTGGAGGCGTGCCACCATGAAACACTGCGAACCGTACTTTTCGAAAGAAGAAATCGGGCCGAAGGCGGTGTAAATGCCGTCTCCGTGGACTGTACCGTGTGTAGTTTTGGGGGTGATCTTGCGAGCTTGCAGTTCTGCTCGTGTCAAGAGACCATGCGCTCGGATAGATTTTAGATTGTCGGGTGATGTCCAGTGATAACCAATGTCAACTTTGGTGCTGGCTTGCCAAGAATAGAACTCCTTCTGCTTTTCTAGGAGGACCGCTACCTGACGAATCATGGCATCCACGGTCATGCCCAGGGGATCCGCCTCTTGTTCTTGGTTGTTGACGACTTCGACGATCTTTTCCACCATCCGCGACGCGGCTTCGACGATGTGTTGATCCAAGCTTTCCATTTCATTGGGGCTGCTCATGACTGCAATTTTGTTTCGTTTTCAGATGGAAGGCGATGGCTTCCACGCTTTGGAGCAATAATGGTGGCGCAAACGAAGGCACACGACTGCAGTAAGCAACGGAATAAAATAATATTGTGACACGGCGCAGGTTTGAGAACAACTTTAGCTAGCTAGCTAGTTGCACAAAAGGAGGGTTTAGCCCAACGGAATACATGTACCAGTACCGTAGAAGGGAAGGCTTTTTTTAATAAAAACGAAGGAATGCTGGGTCTTCGAGGGACAGCATGGAAGTGCATGAGAGCTGTGGCTTGGGACATACCAACACTGGAAGCAAACAAAACGCAAATGACTTGCATTTGACCCTCGTTCAAGTTAGTGGCATGGAGGACTTGGTTAATTGCCAAACAGAGCAGAAACACAACGATATGTAACATTTCACGCAAAGGGGTTGAGCAAATTACAGAAGGTTGGTCGTCATGATGCAGTAGTCTAGTTAAATCGGGAAAGTTTGATGGGTTAGAGAGAACGGAATATGCATACCATGTGGAGAGAGGAAAGTCAAATTTAAGGAAGCAAACCTGAGGACTCACAGCTTCACATCTCACAGTCGCTCTGCCAGGTTATAATTTAACCCTTCTTTGAGAACATTGGGAGAGAGAGTATTTGTTTCGCGAGTGGAGGCGAAGATGCTCACATTTTCTGTGAAAGTTCTTTGGTGTCATTTTCGCGAAGCTGCTTCCCTTCTATTGTTGGGAAGGTCAACGAATCAACACCACCCTAACTCTGTGGACCAAAAGAGACCTGCCAAGACTGTTGCAGAGCAAGTCCGAGAGTATACCGGTACGCCACGGAAGCTTGCTTGGGATGATGAAAAGAGCGGCATTGCGAATCCCCAGTCGTCACCATTCGCTTCGACGGTTCCATGACGATACCGCACAACAACAACAACGCTGCTATCATCATCTCTTGGCGCACATGAACTACGCCCGGCTCAAGGCTCCAATGGAGGATCCCATCATGTCGGAGTTTCGTTTGGCGATGGATCCCGTGAATGCCTTGGCCAAGGCGACACCCGGCTTTGTGTGGTCGTTGGACGACACATCAGAGGACCTTCGAGATGAAGTGCCCATGTTACGGCAGGATCCCTTGCTCATGCCACAATTGTCCTTATGGCAAAATTTGGATGCCATTCAACATTTTGCCTTTAAATCGGGACATGCCATGTATCTCAAACGAAAACGAGAATGGTTCACGGCTCCACCGGAGGGTCCCGTTGCTGTCTGTTGGTGGAGACCCGCACAAAACGACGGATATCCCACTCTGAAGGAAGCCTTTGATCGTCTCGAATTGCTGCACACACATGGACCCACTCTCGAGGCGTTTGATTTTAAATCCTCAAAGCAATTTCCAATGCCAAGCAATACGGAAATGGATGGCACTACTGCATGTCATTCTAATCCAAACCAACACCGTCACCAAACAGAACCGGCAGAAATACTACTCGACCTCGCCAAACAATAGACGACGGTGAATGAGTATTCCACAGTCATTGCTGATCAAATATGTGATGTATGGAAGCGACCCATTCAATCAAATCCTGATCCAGCCAGACGAAGAGCCCGTGCCCCAAGGAACAGAACAGTGAGAAAGCTATTTGAAACTCATGGTACCGGTATGCCCAACTATTTCGGTTATCAATGCAATCCAGCTAGGAAACTCACCACAGTTTTTAAAGATACTTGGCTGTTCTATACCAGCAAAAATTATACGTCCTCTTTTACTCTACCTAGAGCTGGCTAGAGAATCGCTTTCGTCTGTCTTGACTGTGTCGTTTGAAAAATCAAATCGCTCTGGCGCATGGCTGATTGATGGGGTACGGTACAGTAAAGAAACCACAACTGCAAATCATACTAATTCACAGCCAGTACAGTTGTAGCACACATGACACACATCATGAGAAAATGAGAAAAAAAGACCCAGTAAAGTCAATGATGTATCATTTCGACTACTATTCCCTACCGGTATTACAGCGCTAGGACTTCTTTTCGATCCTCATCTAAAAAATCCACTTGTCCTTGATCCGGTACCGACTGTCCTGCCTTGGTCAATTGTGGTATTTCGATATTCTTCAAAAAGAGTCCCAGTAAACATTCGGCTCGTGTCATGGTAAAGAGGGGATCCATTTGGATGCGTTGTCTCACTTCATCATCGTCACTCTCATCGGGCAAGACTCCAAAACTATCCCAATCCCCAAACTTGGCAATCCAACTGGTGGCGTGTACTTTTTCGTTCAGCATCGTCTCCAATTCCTCCAAGCGCATGACGACTCCCACGACACGACCGGCAATGGTTTGGGTTTCGTCGGGCGTCAGGGTCATGCCGTCTTGATTGCTGGAGGATTGTCGTTGGTCAATGGCATCCGTGGCAATTTGACCCGCCCGAATGGCCACATCCAACGGTGATATTCCGTTTTCTTCGTCGACGGTCAAACTCTTGTCCCCACTGACATGGGTAGCTTTGATTTTCAAGGCGCGTGCCAGAGCATTAATGGTTGTGGGATGCAAGGAAGGACGGATCCCCGTGGCGTCTCGGAGAGGATCACCCATTCGTTTCTCACTGCTATCGTCGCCATTAGCAGCACCGTTGGCTTCGCCGTGATCATTGTTGCACACTTCCCATAAGCAGGTTTTCGGTACTTGTCGTGGTGACTGTGATAGAGAATTCTTTACAGAGTAGAGGTGTGCCGGGGAAAACGCGGAAACGCTTCGTGGAAGGAAGACGCAGGATAGCGTTACCCCAAGCAGCAGTTTGTGACGATGATAATAAGCCTTCATCATGGAAACGACGACCTTGGGATGGCCAAAGTGTAGAAGGCGGCCTTGACAACCAACAAAAATCTTTGGCTGCAGATTCCATTCATGGCTGGCTGCTTCCGATAGCTTGAATTTCGGGGATGACCAAGATTTCGTTCCACTGACGTCATTCGGCACTGAATGAGTCCTGTGTGTCATTGCCTCGCGGTGCAGCCTTGGTCATCACGTTTACCAGTAAACTAGAGCTGGCTTCAACACCCACGCTGGTTGACAATCTGATGTTGGGGCTTTTGTCCTGTTCCGCCTGTTGACAGCCTCATCATTACATGTATTTGTCCAGCACCGGTAACAGCTACAAGGCGGCTGCTGCTTTCCATAGCTACCGGTAGCTAGAGGTTAGCACTTCCTTTCTTGTCGCTGGTCCGCCAAGCCCGCCCGCTCCGGGATAGTACTATCCTCCAACTTGAAGCAAAAGATCCTTGCGATGTTTAAGTAGAGTCGAGTCAATTTGTATCTAGCTAGCTATTATAACAGGCACGTCGTGGGGTCCGTAGCTACCGGTATGAATAGGAAGAACCGCGCGTAGTCCTTTGTTCCCGTTTCTTGCTTTCGGCAATTTGCAAGCTTGGCTGGCTGTTCCCCGTCGGATGACAATTCGTTGCCCGTTTTTTGGTCTTGTGTCCAGTGCATGGTCCTCGGTCCTTCCTGCCTTGGTTTGGTTTGGGTGCAATCCTTGGGGATAGTAGTGCGTTCTTGGTTAGAGGTAACCTGATCGTCCCTTCGTGCAGACCACCTAGTAAAAGTGGTTCCAGGCGCCAACTCTTGGCGCCAACGATTTTTTGTCGTCAAAGATAGCGGCCATCATTCGGGAGGAATAGCTATAGCTTTCTTCGTCGCCGCCCTTGTTCGTTCTGCCGCGGACACGACGTCTCTTCGCCTTGCTTGGCCTCCTTGTGCGAGTTGCCCCAACTTCGACAACCAGCTCTGGTTGGTCTTCGTTGGTGCTTCTATTGAGGCGGAATGACGTCGAATTGGTCTGGGCATGTTGTGCTGGATGCGACAGAGAAAGGCCAAAGCGAGAGCCTTATTAGAGGTGCATCCAGCTACCATACCCGTACCGGTACCGTAGTAAAGCCAAAGCGAGAGCTTCAGAGGTGCATCTTGACTCGCCTCCACTGTTTTTAGGATCCACGACTCGAACCGTGGGAGTCAAGTCTTTGTGAGGGCTCGGTTGTACGCTCTCGCTCGATTGCGATGTTTCTACCACCGTAGTTTGTGCGATTCATTTCTGCCGCTACCGGTACCGCACACGTAGTTTTTACAGAGATGCAACTGTTGCCTGTATGCCTGCGGGAGAGTTATTTACTTGTGGTTGCTTTACCTAGCTAGCAAGACAAGTTGTATTGGAATATATGCAAGTTATAATCATTAGTATGTTTGGCTGTGAAATGCTGGTATGGTTCTTTTTGCTGCTGGTGCCCTGGAGGTTCGATGGGAAGAGGATGATAAGATGTGGAAGTTGTATCAGCTAAATTGTTGCGACTCCCTTTTAGACACTGGTGAAGTTGATAGCATGAAGACCATCAGGTTCCAGACGGTCGCTGTCATCCAACTTGCGCTTGCTTCGTCTGCTGGAACTGCTGTTGATGCTGCTGACGCTTTCATCATCCATGGTGCGCTTGTTCTTTTGCTTGTTCTTGTTGGGGCTTTCCTTGTTGGTGTCATTGTCCCCGCACAGGTTTTGATCCTTGATTCGTTGCAAAAGTTCCCAGTTGGCCTGGTTGAAAATGCGTTGCAACTCTTCATCGTCTGGGTCTTCGCCAGATTGAGCAACGGCGGCAGCATCAGTAAGCTTCTGGACGCGGTCCGCTAGACTTTGTCCTTCAAAGCCGACCACAATATCATCCAACTTGTTCATCATGGTAGCTTCATCGGCACGACGACGGCGCTTCTTGGCGGCACTGCTGGAAGAGTATCGGCTGCTGAGCTGGTCGCGGAGGCGCTGACCAACCTTTTCGCGGGCATGGTGATCTCCAACTTCGTACCAGCGGCCTTTCTCGCACTTGACAAAGCCGCCTTCGGGAGAGGACATGCGGATGTCTTCAATGATGGCGGAAACAATGAGAGACTTTTCAAGCTTGCTGGAGGCTTCAGCGTATTTTTGCAAGTTTTCATCCACAAGTTGGAGGAAGCGGAGGTTTCCAGGATGAGACTTGACGGCATTGCCACGAGCGCAGATGCAGTCGTTGTCAGATGGCTGGAAGCCATCCTTCAAGAGGCGGCGGCCTTCAGAAGAAGGCATAATGAATGGTGTCCTTGGCGTGTTCATGTTGATATCGCCAGAGGCGAAAGTATGGATGCGAGTGTTTGGGTTCTGGATGGTCAACATGGTTGGGTGGTTGCCTTCAGCTTTGTTTGTTGGGTACATCTATTTGTGTTTGAGAAGATTTGATTTTGTGAGAAGAAAAGACCAGCCCTTTTTGAAATCTTGAAGGACAGAGGGAAGACACCGGTACATGTAACTCCAACATGTTCTTCGTAAATACGCCCTTTCCAAAGCCCACTTAAGGGACACCGGTTGACAATTGATCCATGGTAAAGCGAAGCTTCAAAACCGTGGCCAGCAAAGCTTGTCTTTACCGCTAAAGAGAATTTCAAGGATGCATGCAGCAATCAGGAACCAAAGCCTTTTTTGTACATACGAGGTTTGTACCGAAGCCGTCAGGTATACCGGTGAGAACAGCGAGCTGTAAAACAACCAAACGAGTGAAGTGAATGTTGAATTAATGGAAAAAATAGGATTTTTAATTGCTCATCCTAACATGTCTTCCCCTTTTTGTATTTAGGATCTGAAACAAAGAAGGGTAAGACTCAGCGTCCATCGGGTCAGATAGGATTTATTTGTAGGAGCCTTTTAGAAGGGCTGTTCAAAGCACTTTCCAATTGGGTGTAAAGTACCGGTACTGTAGCTCGTACGCTCGTACTGTACATGTTGACTGGTGTGGGCTCAAGTGTCCTCACAGTATCCAATTACCAGCGTTCACAAGTTACGTTTTCACAACAACCCGGGCTACGGTACCGGTACTGTGCATTGTGCAATGTGCATTGCCAGCAACGAAAGTAACGTACTAGTACTCGTATGTATTGAGTAGCTTTGTATCGAGAGTTGAGAGCCCTGCCGGTGCGGGTGACCGCACTACTGGTGGAATATTCAACCTCACTGCCACACCGACAGCCCATGTAGCATTGCAGTTCGATTTGTCTTGCCAGAATGCTACAGTCGTGTCCAATTCGCGACCAAATTGAAGCTGTGGCTGGCTATCACTATCAACCTACTTGTTGTTAGTACGAACGCTACCGTCCCACCACAAAGACCCACTCGACTGTACCGTTCTACGCATGCCTTTGCCTTATAAGAACTGAAGCAATGTGCGTCTTTCTTGAGGACTCTATCGTGACGGAAAGACTTGCTTTGTCCGCATAATGGGCCTGGCGTTGCCTCTTACCGGTAAAGGGAAATCCTTCCCCTCATCTGGTGAACTCCTCTTTTTGCTTCCATTTGTTTGTTTGTTGGCGGCAACTTGGCGGTACTGCGATAAGCTGCAAAGATGCACTGGTTGAAGAAACTGCATGCAGAGCAGAAGCTCTAACTAGGCAGATGGTAGTCAGTTACCAGGGATAGTTCTGTCTGTGAAGGCGAAAGGGGTGCCAGTGCAATCATGATCAACCCAATGAGGTACGATGTGCCGGCATGTAGACGAGACCAAGCCTCAAAGGACTTCTTGTGGAGTTCGAATTGTTTTTGTTTTCATGCCTTGCGTAATTTCCACGCTCGGATTCCACGATACTGAGATCACGGGGATGTGGTAAATCCATGTAAACTTTGTTTTAGGTTTTCCCCGTCTACGGTACACTAAATAGGTTGGAGAGAAAGCAACTTTGGCGTGGCCGCACTTGACTTGCTCTGGGAAACCAAACAAACAGCAACGGTGGAATTAGGATATGCATACAATCCTTGATAAACTGCTGAGAAACTTGTCCCATCAGTTTGGTCTGGGAAATACTAATGGAACAAAACAAGACCATGTTTTGGGCCCCAGAGGTACCGCTACTAATAAAAGACTCAAGCAAGCCAACAGGTCTTCCGTCCATCATTCGTCACCAATCAGGTGTGTGTACTCGGCTATCAGCTACAGTGGAGAGCAATGACAAAGATTACACAGTTCCTTCATACAAGAATAGTCCCTGATGCACCAACAAATAGCGAGTTTTATTTGACAGTGTTGCTCACGAGCGGGTGGGCGCCTTCGTGTGCAACAGTTACTAAAGAATGCCGTCAACAAGACCGCAATGGCTGAATCCACGGAACTTTTCATGCCCCAGGGTCGTAAAAGAAAGCATGGCGTCTTGTTTGCAGACTTGTATCCTCAACATTTGCAATCCAGGAGTTCAAGCTCCCTCTCGAACTGTGCTGTGGTGCTTCCCTGAGAGCAGCATCCATTCCACGGTGGGTTGGCTGCTATTGATCCTTCAGTGATACATCAGCTTCAACACTTTTAAAAATCAGTGCTTGGTTCCGCTTACATCACCAAGGCACAGTCTTCAGGCAGTGCCAAGTATAACTCTCGCACTGTGTTGGAGTGTTTCCCAGACTTCAGCATTCAGTTCCATGGTGGGGCTTATTGCTATTGAGACTGCTGTTGATACTTCCGTGAAACATCAACTTCAACACCTACATCAGTGTTTGCTTCCAAGCAACTGCAAAAGAAGCAATGCCAAGAGCGAGAAGAAAGGAAGGAAAGTCGGTGGGTACGTACCAGTGCTGCTCGCTATTAGACATCCTACGCAGGCAAGGTGATCGATGATTGAATAGGTTTTTCCTTTTATACTTTATGTTCTAGTTGTACACGCATGATATTAGTAGCTAGCTGTATATGAGATTCCGTTGCAGTTCCGTCGCCGAGAATAAGCTTCCTTGTTTGAAGTGATGATCCTTAGCAGGTCATGGCCGCGACGTTTGACTCTTCTTCTGTGGAATCCGAAAGGCCGTTGACTTGCCAAATGTCTTCCTCTTGTTCGTATAGGACAGGCCAGTGCTTCTTGCAGTAATCCTTCCAAACATCCACGGCAACACTGCTGCTGCACTTGTGGGCGTATTGCTCCACACTGGCTCGGTGAACTGTCTTGTTCGTGGTCTCCCCGTATTGAGGGGTCCGCCCCCACTCATCCTCTGATGGATGGTAGTGATGGTCATCCCACAGGCAGAAGGGTCTCTTGGAGTTCACAATGTCAGAAGATTCTTCCACCAGCGAATCCAAGGTATGCAAGACTTTGCCGCATGGAGCTCCGCAACGTCCTTCCTTTTGCAAAGGCCAAGACACCACAAAGCCACAGACGTTGTAGTTCTTGACAATCTTCTTCAATTCTTGAATGGTACTCTCCGCCAGTGCTTTTCGGTTTCCCGTTCTGGTCTCAAGCTTGATTGGCATTGGGTCTAGGGCCAAGGGTGAATCTCCGTAGTTTGGATGAGATGCAATGGCGAGGCCAATGCGGTCACTTCCCACGTCCATGGCCAAAACCGTACCACTCGCCTTTTTCCAGTCGAGCTTGGAAGCCAATGTGGATGGCTTGGCCAAAAAGTTGAGCAAGTTGGTCTTCGACATGATGTATGTATCGTAGCTGAATGTATGAATCTTTCGTCTATGCAAACCAGGCAATCTATCTATCTGAATTGTGGGAAGATCGATCTCTAACAATCAACTGGCCTTGTCATTCACAGACTAGCATGACCATCAGGCAAGAACTGGGTTTATTCAGCAAAGAAAAGTGGACGCGTTGCAAACAAGCAACAATCAAGCATTGATGAACGATCGAGTAAGAAGAATGCTTCCATCGACCGCTGACAATAACAATCGGGTTTGAAGGCAAAATGTGAAGCCTTTTTGACAAGTTGAAAGGGGTGTCAAGCATCCACGATCGCATCGGTAATAAAGAACGCCAATCAAGGAAACGTCAACCAAATAGCAGTCCAATTCCAATAGCCTAAAGTTTCAGCCTTACCAATATGCTCTTTCTCCATGAAAACTCTTCAAGCATCCTAGCCAGCCACGTAGAGGAGTGCACTACGTGTTCTGGATTGAATCTGTACGGTACGGAAGTATGTCATTGGACCAAAGGAGAAGCTATGCATCACGACGGCTCCAATGAAATCGGGGCCTAAAGTTTTTGTATGATGCATGGCTTTGCTGATTGATTGCCTGGAGATCATCTAGTCCAGTCCTGGAGCTACCAAGAGCTGGCAAGTATCAGTGTCAGCTATGGACAGGGCGCGGCGATACAGTGTCAGCTATGGACGACACAAGAGCAAGCTAGTTGTCTTCAAGTTGTCGCCAGATACTGGCTAGCTAGCTAGCTCCGTTGGCTGCTACATTGATTGGAGGTGCCACCCTTTTGACAGCCCCGAACTGGCCTGTCTAGCTAGCTAGTGGCCTCGAGTGGAGGAGGAGAACCCCATGAGAAGGGCCCTCGGAGTATCATCAAAGCCATCATAGGATACTAGTAGAGAAGCCAAGCATCCACGGCATTCTAGACAGAGAGAAGCCAAACATCCATATATTTCCTGGTCCGGTCCTGGAACTCCATAACCATCCAGGATGTTCTACTACGAGATTTCAGTTGGATCCTGTAGCCTAACCAATGCAAGACAGGACTTGTAGCCTAACCACAGTACGACAGGAGTGATTGGCAGTGTTTCCCTCATAGTCCTTCTACTATAGCCAGACTAGACTCGACTTGACTTGGTCGTCTCGATTTCTCTCCAGCCTTCTATTGATCAAGGTTTGAGGATTGTAGTGCTTGTGCCAAAGGTTTTGACCGTTTGTCCGAATCAGATTCAAAAGAGCTGGTTGCTATGTCTTCTAATCTGATCTGTAGCTCTCCTCTGCTATCAAGCATGAATGCATGATTTTTCCTAACGTTCCTACCTACCTAACTAAACAGTCACGTACTCACTTGCCCGGCCTACATCGACAGCAATCATCGGGACATTCCACTCCTTCATCCCCTCGGGGACACTGCACCATGAGCAAGGTAAGGTCTCCCGTTTCGTGCAAGGCACAAACTTCGTCTGGCATGGTTCCAGTAATTCTTGGATTGTGATAAAGTTGAAATAGATCCAAGAGCGTCATCTCGCCTAGCTCGGAAGGGACCGTGCCGGACAAGTCATTGCCAAAGATTTCCATGCGAGTCATGTTGGTGAGCAACCCAAATTCTGTCGGTATGGAACCGGTGAGGAGATTTTCGTTGGCAGTGAGATAATCTATAGATAGATAGGCGATAAAGTGGATTGTTGTTGACATGCAAGGAAAGAAAGGGAGCGATAGAAAAAGCAGCACCACGCGTGGGTTAGTCTCCAACTTAATCGTTTCACCCCAAAAGTACTACATTCCTCCCTGCCAATTGTTTCGTAGCCAAAGCAAGACGTACATAATTCCGTCACTTGTCCCAATTCACTGGGAAATGGTCCGGTCAGTTTGTTGTCATTGATATCCAACCGATGCAACGCCACCATATTCCCCCACTCGGTTGGCACCGATCCTGCCAATCCCGATCCGAACAATTGCAACACTTCCAATTCGGTCAACAACCCCATCGTGGAGGGAAGGGGTCCACTCAATAAGCATTCCGACAAGTAGACTTCTCGTAGTTGCGTACACATGCCAATACTGGTAGGGATTACTTTGGAAAATCGATTTTCTTCCAAGGACAGCGACACGAGTTGCGTCAAGTATCCAATTTCACTCGGGATATCTTCCTGAATCGCGTTGAAGCCGAGTGACAATTCCATCAATTCGGACAGGGCTCCAATCTGAGTCGTCAAACTCCCCGACAGTTCATTCTTTTCCAATCGCAATTGGAGCAGTGAAGACGAGAGTTGTTGAATGTGCGAAGGAATGGAGCCGGTCAATTCATTGTCGTAGAAACTCAACACTTTTAATTTGGTCAATAGAAATAATTCCGTGGGCACTGTCCCCGACAAATGATTGCGGGTCACGGAAATACCGCGCAATTCCGACAACAATGCCAATTCGGTAGGAATTGTTCCATACAAATGCATTTCGTCCATGCCCAACGAGACGACTTGTTGGTCGCTGTTGCACGTGACATAGAGCCACGTACATTCGTGCGCATTGTCGCTCCACCAGAGATTTTGTTCATCCCAGTCAGTGCCCGACCATTCATTGTACAATACTGCCATCACGTAGCGTTGATCGAGCCATTCACTAGCGGCGCGTGTCGTGCTGCCACTGGCCAACCACAACAGGGCCAAATTGCGGGCATGACACGATGTAATGGTCGGACGTGTGTCATTGGGATGCAACAGTGGATAGAGATTGTCGACGAGTTCTTGATAGAGGAATCGAATGTCATCGGCCACGACGGTGATTTGTTCTTGACAGTGACATTGGAGTATGACATGGGGTTGCACGTAATTGCCCAGAGAACAGTCAGGATTCGAGTGATCGTACGGATCCAAGGGCGTGGTTTCCCGTTCTTGAATCGATTTTACCCACTCGGGATCCAACCACACTTGTGTAGGAGGATCGGTGGGTTGTTCTGCCGTCGCTGTTGCCTTGTTGTCATTGTCATCTTTTTGTCCAATGGTAAAGTGCAAAATGAGAATCAAAATGGCGACCAGCACGGCCAAACAAAAGAAAATGGCAGCAATATAGAGCCACTGCATGGAACGACCATCTCCACTACTTGTCGACTTGTCGTTGGTAGTGTAGTGGGAAGGCGGTCTCTGTGGGGGGTCTTCAATCGGACCGCCATGTGAGTCCTCCAATGGAACCGAAGTCTCTGTCCCGACATCACTCGTCTCCTTCACTTGACTGTCAATGCTTTCTTCCTCCACCACCTCCACCTCCGATCCATTCAGTATTGGATCTTCCTGCTTATTATTGTCGTTGGACATGATGGTGGATTTGATGGACGTCTTGAATGAAATGAGGCAGGGGCAGAACTAACTTGACAATGAGGTGTGTCTCTGTGTGTCTCTTGTGCCTGAGATGATCGATGCGTGACACTGGTTATCGGAGTGCCAGTCTCAATGACCAGTGGCTTCACAGCTCAGCAGGATTCAATTCAATCCACTGCCGCAACTGGCCACCCGCATATTACACCACACGCGACTTCATTGACTGCTGTACGTGGAGCTAGCTAGCTAGATCTATGCTAAGGTTCTTGCTTGATAATTCAGATTCAAAGTATTCTCTAATATAATATTTCACATTAGTACGTTATGAATGATCATTCTACTCTGAAAGAATGCTCTGGCTACAGTACTCACAGCAATGATGGACAAGTAGATCGTACGGTACGGTATCTTGCACGTCTTGCACCGGGTCCAATGTGATCATCTGTGATGATGCGTCTATCTATCTATCTATACGGGAAAAGGAGAGCAGGAAAAGCCATAGTAGAGCCATGGATCGTCGGAATGGCCTTGGTGGTGGTGGTGGTGATGCGTAGTAACAATCAGAGCAATCATGCCCAACCCACACAAGAAGAACATCATGGCAAAAGCACCAAAATGCTGAACACCTTCTTGGAACACCGTGGTCTGTTGGCCAATGCCGAAAATCATTTGAGAGTAGTTGGGTGTCATCGTTATTTGTTGTTGTTGTTTAGTTTGGTTGTTTGTTTGTGTGGTCCATTGTGGCTGCATTTGATACCGGTACGGTTGACTTTTAGCTTTGGGCGGACGAGCTACTACAGTAGCTAGCTAGAAGCCTGGAACAGTTCGGTTCGCTTTTGAAGCAAACTGATCAGGCTGATAGAAATAGGTAGTTAAGGTAATTGAAAACTGCGTAAAAACGGTTATATATTTACCGCAACTACATGCTTCCGGTGAGCGTGGTTGATTTTAACAAGACTCGACTGAAGGATTAATCGTGATTCGATTCGACTCCGCAGCTCGGCCGCCGCAGCACGGAGCAGCCGCAGCATCACCGCAACAAACACCATCGACTGACACCATCAATGAGCTTTCCGTCAAGGCAGACAACAACAACAATGACCAAGACTGCTAGTACTCTGGAAGCGTCTTGTTGGGTGTTGTTTGGTAGTATAGAGCATGAAATCAGTGCTCATCAGTGGCTCAGTCTCGTCTCATCACAAGTCATTTTCCATCTGGCAGAATCTGTCATCCCAACATCTGGCAGAATCTGTCAGGTGAAAAATGGGATGTCACCATGATGAGCTCACTTTTTTGTTCAACCGGATTGCTAGAGTTGCATACCCAACCGAACAAGGAAGACTTTCGCGATTGTTGATAAGCCAAGGCCAGATCAACCCCCCAGACCTTATTCAAGTCTACTTTTACCTTTTCTATCCATCTTCTATTCAATACCTATCAATTGCAAAATGAAGTTCACTTCTTCTATCATCAAGCTGCTCTCGTGGTCCACATGGACCACCGACAACTACAACAGCAACACCAAGAAGACCCCCGTTCTCCAGGTCGCCAAGGAGATGACGGGCAACAACAACAACAACAACGACAAGGACGTTCCTGTGGCAGAGGAAGTCCCAACATTCCAACTGGACGAGTTGGACAAAGATGTCGTCCAAACCGCGGCACTGTTGCACACAGATGAAACCAATCCTGATGTGGAGTTCCAGCAGCACGGTCGCTTTCTAGGTGCCTACGACCTTTCCCTGGTTCCTTCGGATCAGCATGGTCACTACGGATACGACAACAACCAGCACCGGCCCAAGGGCTGTCGCATCCAACCCAGTCAATCAGCCAACGCTCGCTGGAAGACCCATTACGGTCAAGACACCGAACGGAGCAATGGAAACCGTTTATCCTTTGCTCCCGTCAACACTGTAGTGGGGTACTCTTCTGACAAGAGTGAACAAGAGGAAAACAGCAGTGTCTATCGAGACATGAAGAAACATGTGCCACAGGCAACAATTGAATTCTGGCAGGAAGCCCAACAACAATTCATTTCCGTCGGCACACAGACACCCCACGAACGCGTCTTGGATCTCATCCAGTTGATTCAAGAGTACGGATACCAACAAGTGGCCAAATGGATCACCAACAACAAATGGTTCCAAAGTGACAAAGCGTACCTACGACAAGCCAAACTGTACATTCAAATTGATGCCGTGCATCGAGACCTCGAGGGACTTGTCAAATTCATCAAGGCGAAGAAAGGAAATGACAAGCAAGTCTCGCACTGGTTCATGGTCAACAAAAAGAACACTTACATGTTCGAACTCGCCATGTGCCACTTGCATCTCGGTGGTATTCAGCGCAACGCTGACGACAAAATTTGCACCTTGAATACGCGAGAACAGATTGCCAATCGACGATTTGTCTATCGCAAGGTCAAGGACGTCTGCATGGAAGATGCAGCACCCGTAGTAGTAGAACAACAACCAACAACAACAACTAAAGAGGTCGAGGCAATAGAAAAAGTCTCGACCGTCGACGACAACAAGATGGCATCCGATGCCACAACCACATGCGAAGCAGCGGTGGTTCCCACATGCACAGTAGTGGTCCCATACATTCAAAAGTGGCATGTGAAACACTTCAAGATCAGTGTGCATGGACAACAACCGTTTGTATTGGAGATGCGAATGATGAATGGTGTGCTACTTGGAGTGGCACCCAACGACATTCTCGCTGCATTGATGAAGGATGGTGGAGACCTTGTCAAAGAATTCATGCGGCGGCACAACACACTACGGTTGGAGGCAGGCGCTGCCTCGGACGATACGGATTACGAATTCGTGACTGGCCAAATGGTGGAAGTGGTAGATGATGAGGAACCACTACTGGTCGAGGAACAACAACAAGTTGATGCTGATGAACCACTGGTCGACAACCGAGTCGATGAGGAGGACAATGCGGACACAGCACAATCAACATTGCGGCGGTCAAAGAGACGCATGGCGGCGATTGCATCTCAAAGAATCGCAGAGCAAATGAAGCCACGGCGGGTGGCAGAGCAACCTAGAAATAATACACGTAGACGCGCGGTGGCCAAGAAGTCGACAAAGCCAAAGGCGCAGGGCAAGAAGACAAAGGCAAAGAGCAAGAAGAAGACGACGATACCTGTGACGGACACACAGCAGCAAACCACGGTTCAGACAACAACAACTCTTTCTGGACGGCAAGTCAGAAAGCCTGATCGGTACATTCCAGTCTAGGACAAAAGGTAAGTGGGGGCGGCGGCGACGACGGATTGTGGGGATTACTAACACATAAATACAACACACAACGAGCAAGCATCTGGTGGGGTGCAGGGCTATACAACAATCAATTTTGCGGAGATGAATACAGTTGGTTCAATTGAAGGGTCACATCGAAGGTAGCCAGGTTTGTGGTTCCTGTGCTAGGCAGCCTCTATTGCAGAGTGCTTGTCCGAACGTCCTCCACGCGACGAAAGTCCAAAGTTAATACCTGTGACACCCGACAACCAACCTCTATCATTGTTGATGCTATTACAATCTTTTAAAAATACAACCAAACATAGACATAAAACAATAATACATAGTAGACAATCTTCACAAACAAAAATCATGGCTTCATTCTTTTTGTAGTACTAGTAGTTGTAGTCGTACTAGCTGATGGTACTTTAGATTCATGGTAGCATCCATTGCAGGCCAAGCTCTGGTATGGAACCGGTCGTGGTGCACGAAGAGGTTACCGTGGGCCGCGGGAATTTGAGACCCCCACAACCGAACATGCAATCTTCCTGGGTTGCCGGTCCCATGGCAACCAAACGGGTATACAGCAGTGTGCAGGCCACGTCTCAAAGCGCAACACAGCTTGTAGCTATTGCGGCCAGCATCACCTCTCTGTTGGCCTGCAACCAGTGGTCCTGCCCATACTCAGCCAATGGTACGAGGATACGTTGACGCCAGGCCCAGGCAGCCTGGGTATTGTTCCGGCCCGCCCTCAACTTCTGGTTGTGAGGAGGCTCCCGTGTCGCTCCCTAGTAGTAGTGCAATAAGCTTCCACCGCTCCGTCTGGGATGGCGCACTTGTGCTCTTTCTGGCGCTGGTCACCTTTTGACATTGAGCTCTGCCTCGGGGATTGGATTCGTCAGTCAGTCGGTTGCTTCCGTACTAGCTATGATCCCACGAGGATGGGAACGATTGCTGAACGAGCCAAGGCAAAAGATCCAGCAAGCAATGAGCCCATCCTCCTCCCGGTGCGAGCCTCAGTGCTTTGAGTAAATATTCAACTAACTGGAGCTCTGTCAAATATGTGGCACTGTCACTTTTTGCTGCATTTGATATAGGCTAGATAGTTCGCTCGAATTGAAGCAAGCAAGTCGGTTGGGCCTGGCCTCGGAAAGACCGATCCAACGAGCTACCTGACCTGTAGCGGTACCACTGAGTCTACTTTTTAGTTCGTCGCTTTTGTTCAGAGCTCCTCCGGTTCCCTACCACCGGCCGTTTGTTCAAGGGATTGATGCTAGCTAGCTACCATGGTATCCAATAGCTACTAAACCAAACGAGCTGCCTGACTCCTTCTGTAGCACTGTGCCAAAATATAGACCTGCTCGAGTTGTATTGATGCAAGCTCTAGCTAGCTAGCTAGCGAAAGGATCCGTGCTGATTCGATCCTCTTCCCCGTTCTCGGTTTTTGACCCGTTTGAACAACGCCACTACTAAAGCCCCTTCGTGTTTTGCCAAGACGACACTCGACTCGACTCCCCATTGTATGTAACCGGCACAGAAACCCGTATAGTTGTCGGCGGTACTGGTATCTTGTGTGCCGAACCATTCGTCGTCGAGCTTGTGTCGGTCTTCCACCTGCCGATGGTGTTTGTCGTGCGAGTACATGTAAGTAGGCCAAGAAGGCCCATCGAGAATAGGTGGTACAAAAGCTGGATAGCTAGCTAGTCTAGATGAAGATGTTTTTCTGAAGTAAATGATTTGTTTGTCTAATATTTCTTGTATTTAGTAATTTCATGTGTGTGTGGAAGAAATGCAACAGTGTTGTTTTTTCGTTTTGCGCGTGCTCTATTGTGTTGTGTGTGTTGGCATTCAATCCCATTTTGAATGACTCACTCACACCCCTCTTTGACAGCAAGTAGTTTACAATCGATCATCGGCAGAACCGCGTGGGATGCGTCGAAAGTTGACAAGGGGAGGAGGACCGCGGGTGGCCAACAAGGGGGCACTGTTGGTTGGGGCGGCTTCGTGAAGTGGCATTTGCAGACTGGACGAACTGAAATGGAGTCGAGAATGACTGTGATTCATTCCCGTCACACCGCGTCGGGCAAAATTGCTGCTGCTAAAGTCCAGCATGCTCGAATCACTCAATCGCAAACTTTGATCCAAGCGTTGATTGACTTCGCGAAGGGTATCGGCCAACTCATCCAAAGTAGCGGCCGAGTCATCGAGCATGTTTTGCATGGCGCCGTCAACGGGAGTCGGAGAAGGAGCTCGTCGGACGCGTTTGTTCGTGTCTTGGACCAAGCCCAGTTCGCAGCGACTGCGCTTGAAAAAGGTGCTCTCGTCGTTGGGGAGCGTGTTGCTGATGGTGCCGTCAAAAGAAATATTCATGGTGAAAGTTAAGTAAGTAGTTTATGTTATGTGGTAGAACAAAAAGAGAAAATTGACTGTTGGTCGAGCTCAGGATGAATGGTTTGTTGGGTTGTTTGGGTTGTTTCGTATGCAGGCCCGGTTGAAGGAAAATTGATTTTATGAGATCTATGGGAGCTTTTTGGTTGTCCAAGAGCGACCGACGGCTGGAAACCACAACTAACTATTGAAGGGTCTCTTAAAAAAGAAGGTCACCAACAGGGACATTTTACTAGTCAATCCAACTAACCCCATTTAGCCCCAACCATCCGTTCTTCCCTAGACTACTAAATCTCACAGTCATACCATTCCCATTTATCGCTTTCTTCAACCTTCCTCTTCATCAAGAATTCGGATGCCAAGAGCCATTTACTTAACTACTTCAATACTGTTTGGCTACACAAGAGCGCGCTTAATTAAATTTAGTTATGCGACAAGATTGACCATGGCATCACTTGCGTTCCTCTTGTTCCTACCAAAATCACTCCAATGACTCGCGGAGGGCGGCCCTTGTGGTACCACAATTGTTTTTGAATGAATGACTGAATGAATGAATGATGCGAGCCCAAGAGCTTCAATGGCCGAATCTTTTGTAGTGGTGCCGGTACCAGTGGCTCTTGTCTGTACCGGTTCCACACCGGTACAGTACCCTTGGATCTGCTCTGGTACGGGACCAGCTAGCTACCGGTACGTACCAGCTCTCATGGTACTGGTACTGCCGGTATCTTCGTCATCAAGAGAGTTTTGGCATGGCTCGCATACATCAGGAAAACCTGGGCACAGGTCCTAGCAGCAGCCAGGAAAGGATTGATTCATGCCAATAAAGGTGCTGCAGTATTGGACTCTCCGCACGTAACCTAGCTAGACTAGACTACTAGCTAGAGCAACTAAAACCACGGTCTTCTACAATGCTTAGAGGAAGTGCTCGGCTCGCCGTGGCGCCCACCTAAAGCAGCCAAAGAGACACAAGCTGCAAGACAAATTTTCCGATAATAGCTACTATGGCTAAGTGTTGGTCAATGACATTGTTGTGGACGGGGTAGCGATGGCAAGGTTGAAATTGCCAAGAATTGGGATTCGCTGTGAGTTGGCTGGATAGCTAGCTAATGAACCACATTGGCACACCAAAGATAACAGTAGTCATGGAAGCCATCAAAGAGATTGCAATGGCTGCATGTAGCTACCAGGTATAGCCCAGTTGTCTGCAAACAGAATCCTACTGCCGCCTTTTCAAAAAGGTAGCAGCCTTTTTTTCTTACCGCGCTTCTCAGAAAGCGTTAAATGGATTCTGCAGTTGTCGCATTTCCGCATCACTTCTATTTTGTTTTGAAGATTGTCCCGTCTGCTCTTGGAGCCCGCTTTCAAGATACGAATGTCGTCGTCTTTCTTCGTAGCAGCCGCTTTCAAGATTCCAATGGCATCATTGCTTTGCTTGATCTTCACTTCGGCCAAAATGCACTTTTGGAGAATTCCTGAACGAATCAGCATGTCTTGCTCCTTGGGGTCAGTAATGGTCGAAGGAAGGAAGATCTGAAGGGTACCCCAAAGCACTTCACGACAATCAATGTATTCAATAACGAGGTTGAGAGCAGGTTCCAGTTGTCCCTTTTTGAGCCACAATGGTTTGGCCTTGACGACTCCGCAGACAAGCTTCAGGCACTTGGCTTTGGTCTTGCGAAGGTCAAATTGAAGGCTCTTGGATAATTGCTTGACAATGGTTGCAAGCTCCGTCGCTGAATTGATGCTAGAGGTTGGCTTGACCATCTCGTAAAGGGCATTGTCGCAGCCTTTCAATCCTCGAGTAACACAAAGTTCATCAAACCAAGAGAGAACTACATCCACATTCTGCTTGGTGATCTCTGCATCAGAGAATGGATCCAACAGAGACATGATGAACTTCCAGTCTTCTGGATTCTTGTCGGGGAATTCAAACCTCTTGGTGGTGGATTCTTGCATCCCACTTCGAAAAGCTGCATCAAAATACTCACTCCATACACGAAGGGCGTAGCTTGACTCTTGAAACTCTATACCTCCAACAACCACAACCACATCAGGCTTGATTGCAAAGCCTGGACGCTCCGGGACGGCCGCCTGGTTGTCCTCCTTGGGATCAGCACTCTTGTTGTTTCCTTCGTTGGAATCTTCTTCTTCGCTCATGGTGCAGTCGGAGGGCGGAACGCTTCAAATGGTTGTGCTAAGTCACAGTTTTGCTAAAGTTGTCGTCCTTCGAATTGTGAACCAGCCACTCTTGTGTTGGCAGTGGGGTTGATGAGACTGGCACTGTATCGTGAGAGTTTCGTTCTAGCTAGGCGGAGAATCTTCGTTGTCGTACACACGGGATAGCAGCCGTGATAGAATCGAATCATGCGGGTCTCTCTATTGTTTGTTTGGACTCGTCTCCGATTTGAGTAAGGTCTACCAGTACGGTACTCAGCTAGCTCGTCGGTGATCTTGGCGTTGACGGGTGGAGGTACGCTGTACATCGAACTCTAATCTGGTTTGTCGCTCACAGATGGGGTGCGTACCGGTACCAGTACCCACGGTTTTCTCGGTGCTACATCTACAGCTATACGTACGTCCTGTACGGGATGGCATCGCCATGATAGAATCGAATCACGTCACGGTGGGTCTCTTGAGTTGTAAGCCTCGTCTCAGATTGGAATGAAAACTCGATATCGGCAGCATATCAGAGAAGCATCAGTGCTCTAGCTAGGCCTTGGCAGCGGGTGGGGTACGGTACGTGGAACCTGGGCTGTGGTTTCACCCGTCAAGGTGGCATTGAAAGCTGAGGATTTTGATATAAGTAGTTACGAATGCTGTAGAATTCATTTTAATCACTCGAGCCATTGTTTGCACTTTCTGCAGTCCATCATCTTGCTTTTGAGAACTAGCTACCTTTCGTTTTTCCACTTTGACAACAACAAGTGCTTTAAAAGCACTCCGGTGCGGATCAAGACATCCTGGTCTGCTGGGTCCGTGACCTTTGAGGGGACGTAGTCTTCACATATATCCCACGGTAACTCCTGTGTCTTGTTGGCCTTCAAGGCGTCAAATAGGATTCCAACCATATCCGCACATAAGAATCCCTTGGGGCTTTCAAACTCCGCTTTGATTTGTTTTAGGCATACTGGAGTTGTGTTGTCTAGATTGTACTGGATGCTATTCAGCAGAGTAGCCAACAACAAGTCGAAGTCTTTGCCGTTTCTGCATCTGTATCTACGAGTCGAGAGAACCGGATCGCAGCGCTCAATACCCTTGTGGATACCGAGTTTATCGAACCATGGAAGGATTTTGTGAGCATTTGTCGCGGTGATCTCTGCATTCGAAAAAGGCTCGAAGAAGGATCTGACCAATTCCCATTCCTTTGGATCCTTGTCCGGGAATTCAAATCTCTTGGATATAGATTCTTTCATTCCACTGCGAAGAGCAGCATCAAAATACTCACTGCAGATACGAAGGGCATGGCTGGATTCTTGAAACTCTGTACCTCCAACAACCACAGTGACGTCAGGTTGAATGGAGAATCGTCCTCTCTTCAGAACGGGGCCATCGTCATTGTCAGTCTTCTGTTTGGCTTTTTTACTCATGATGAAAAGGGGCGAGGGCGACAAGACGACAGGTAGATCTCTCAAACTCTCTCGTCAGATTGTAAGATCCTTTCCTTATGATCTGATGTGGTTCACACCGCAGGTACCAGGAGAGCTTCTCAAACTACGGGTTGACAGGTTTTAAGGCAGGAGATGATCTCAGTCTGGTACTATGAAGGACCATGTTGATGATTCGCATGAGGGTTTCCTCGTCGCTCGTCGCAAGAGCGCGACAGTCACGAGCACACACGACTGCGGTATGAAGAATGCGCAGGCCGATTGGGAAGTCTTTCGATCTTTCGTCCCGTTCGAGACGGAAGCGATGCTCCCATGCAACCAGGCGACAGCCTTCAAGTGGCAAGGATTGATGTCTTGCTCTTGTTGGTTCTTCTGCTGCTCCTCGGATTTTCCTCGGTCGTCAGCTTTCGAGAATTCCCATTGCGACTCCCTTTCTCCAAGCATGACGAAACAGCAATGACAGGAAAAATCTCCCCAAACGGCGTGGCTACGGCACATCACCGGAGACAGAATCACCCCGTGAGACTCGAAAAGACATGGCCCAAGGAGTATCCCTTTGAAAAGTACGACTTTGCCCGCTGCGACGACTACCAGTACAAGCAATGCTGCTGGAACTCGATCGAGCGATGCTGTTTTCTGCTGGCGGGTTCTCCTGTTCGATTCTTCGCTAACCTATGGCATTCGCAGCTTCTCTGACAAGGAGTCATAGAAAAAGTCGCTAGCTAGAAGAGACATACCAGCAGGAGACAAGGGAATCCACCGATAAAAGGACGTTTATCGCTGTCTATCGATTTATGCAATTACAGTTACAAGACTGTAGTAGTAGCGAGATTCGAGCCAACGTTGTGGAGGAGAAAACGGAGGTTGAATTTTCAGCCCCAAGGACTTCATATCGGAAGCCATATGTGATATTGGGAGGATTGGATCGAGTCCCTGTCGGGAAGGAGGGATGATGCGAGTAGCTACAGACTGTATTCTGTTCCAAAGGAAGTGTTCCTCTCCAGGCAAACCCTTGGAGGGATGTAGCCTGGCGGTAAATCTTCTTGGCTGTCAAATGACAATGTCATGAGTCCATCTTCTGAGTCCGTGTGATCGTCATCGTCGTCAGAAGTGAAGACCACAGACCGAGTCTCACCATCTTCACTTCCACGGAAGTTGCGGGTCTCGCTGCATTCTGCTTCATCCTCTGGGACCCCCGGAAGCACGGCCAATTTGGACCTTGACAGTGATGTTTCTGCCATACGGGAACTTGCCTTGGTAATCACTGGTGTCTTCTTCAGGTTGTCATGATCATTGTGTCCTGGTTTGATGCAGACAGTGGGTCCCACATAGGAAAGGAGAACTGGCAACAGTATCAAACCATGGGCAAGACCCAGTGAGACCATGGCAATGAACATGATGAAGACAGTCTGGATGATACCATTGGTGCTAAATGCCAATGGAACGACACCCAGACAGGTAGAAAGGCCACCCACTAGGATGGAAGCACCCATGGTTCTTAGAGTATCCTTGACCTTTTCCTCGCGTGTGGGCTTTGTTGACTCATAATAACGGAGTATGATGTGCTGAAGAAGAAGAAGCAGGTGAGAATCGTGATGTCGAGCATGCAATGATCAAAGCAATGCTGTGCGTACCATGATAAAATCTACCAAAAGCCCCACTGAGATTACCAGGCAGATGTAGGTCAGGGGGTTGATGCTGAGTCCAGCAAATTGGAGCATCCCCAACAAGTCTATGTTGAGGATGCACATTAGCGGAAGTATAAAGAATGCTGCTGACCAGTGTGGGATGAGGATGAAGGCCAGGGCGGTAACTGCCACAACACCTGATGCACCAGGGAGAAGTTGTACGTTAGTCATGCTGTCAAGGAAATGAAGAAGCACAGGCAAACCGAGCTCACTTACCGGAAACTGTGGTGAAGGCAAGCTCAGATGGTACAATGGTGTAGAATTCCCAGATGAAATATATAAGATCAAATGCGAAAAACTTGAATCCCTCTCCATCTTGATTGATAGGTTGTGCCTCGGCAACTTTGCGTTGGTCGGCAAGAAAGATACTCTGCTCCTTGACTACATCAAGGTCGACATGGTTGACAGCGATAAAGCATGAGGAGGCCACAATTTCTCCATCTTCATTGCGCAAAATACTACTCCCATATGCTTCATTGATTTCTGGCACACTCAGCATGAGGTCTAATTTTTCAGTGAACGTCAGAGTGCTGTTCTCGCCAAGTAGCGATGAGTACTCTTCAAAGGCCGGGTTGTCTCCATTCATCAGCTTTTGGAAGTCTGTGACCCAGCAGAGTTCTGGCATAGCTTGAATTTGAGGAAGAGCAGCTAAATCGTTGATGTAGTCAATCATCTGCTGTTGAACCTGGGGATCGGACTGGTCAACATCCCTGAAGTAGGCAGCCACTCCCAACTTGCGGTTAGTGTACAAGTCCATTGCATCCAAGAAGTCCATTGCATAAGAAACTTGAGGCAAAAAGTCAGCTGGTTTGAACTCTTGTTTCAAGAGAGTAGTGCTGTAGATGCAGACACCAACCAATGCAGTAAACACAATCATGACAACCACTTTCACAACAGGATGCAGCAGATGGTCACAATACCAATCCATGAACCGGTCAACAACTGGTGCTTTGATGGGGACGGCTACCTGCGAGACATCATCCTCCAATCCATCAGTGTCTTCTTCAGTGCCACGGTCTTTGGCACTGAAGCAAATGCAACAGTCTCTTCTGTTGGCTGCAATTCTCCGTTCATCCAACACGATAATGGCGACAAAGAAGGATATTTGATAGAGGAAATCAATGCAGATGGTTGGGAATGCTAGGCAAAGGCAAGATGGAAAAGGAATTGTGAGTTTCCGTTTATCAGGCACAAAAAGCCGCACTCTTCAGAGTCCAGTGAACCAAGCCTTACCATAGAGGCATAGGTATTGAATAATGGGGATGCTGGTTGTCACAGTCCCCAGTACAAAAGCAACTGTTGTTGTGATAGTTGTAATGGACACGCTCATTCCAACTTCTTCCATGGTTTCTCGGATTCGTTCAACCGGATCTTTTGTAGGATCCGTTCTCAGGTATGCTCCCACAATAATGAAAGTATCATCGAGTCCAATGCCAAAAATAACAAAGGGGAGAACAGAAGTCATGCTGGTAAAGGGCAACCCAATACAGAAGGCAAGCCCAAAGCCACTCATGATGGACAGCATGATTGTCACAACAGATCCGATACCAAGAAGTGCCCGTGACTGGATGATGTCTCTTCGGCAAAACACCATGCATGTGAATGCTGCCATGATTGCAAAGACACAAGGGATCAGTGGCAAATCCTCTGAAATGGCCCGGGTTAGTTCATCTGGGAGAGACCGCATAGTGTAGATTTCGAGACGGTAAGGCTGGTCCACTTGAGCTTCCAATGCTGCCTTGATGGGCTTGAGCAGATTGAGCATTTCCAGCTCAAACTCCTCACTTTCTCCATTGGGCCAGCTCGGCAAGTCAATGAGATTGACCAATGACTGGGCAGAGGTGATCAGGGTGCCATTGTTTCCGTCTTCGCCTGTGATTGCTTCACGATGTAGGTTTCCGATGAACAGGCTGTGTGGAAAGGGAGTTCCGCCCGCAGAATCTTGGGACAGGGCGTGCATCACCAGCTCATCAGACCCTTGAGATTGTTCTTCAAACAATGTGGCATTGTGTTCCCAGAACCTGGTGGGACCAGCGATGCTGCAGCCACCGTGCTCGCCGTTGCTACCTGCACAGATGGCTTCATAACCATCCATGGCTCGGACACTGTCGGTGGCATTGAAAAGTCGTCTTGTAGCTTCATATGTCACTACATTGTCCCCATTGGCATGCAAGATCAAGATGAGTGGACGGGCAAAAGACGGGAAGGTTTCCTGGACCCATTGAAAATGCTCTCTGGGTAGGCAGTCCACGGGGGCAAAGATTTGCTCATTATCGGCACTCAGTTCAAAGTTGGTAAATAGACCTGCGGTGATGAGTGTGATGGAGACCAGACAGATTGCGCCTATGCATCTTTTTGGGTTGCGGGCAGCCAATAGACTAACAGCAATTACAAATTTGGTAATGGCCAAGTGAAGGAGTTGTGTTGCTCTTCTCCAGACATAGACAAAGTCGCTGACACAACCGTTGGATTCATATTTGTTGGTAGGCGCAGTTTGAGGCTTTCGTGGCCCCTTTTCGGGAATATCTTCTTGCATCATTGTAGCTGTCTTTGTTAGTGATGTACGTGCGCTCGGTTCTCAGCGTTTCGATTGTGGAGAGCCTTGATGGTTGGCGAAGCAAGTCGAGGTCGCAGGGGAACTTTTCCGAGGCTTATGATGAAGATTGTGAGCAATCTTTCCATCTCGCCAGTATCGGCGGTAATAATCGGTTCCGAGCACATCTATCTGTACAGCCACACCAGTTGCGATGCATGAACGAACTGCATGGATGCAAGCATGTTTGCTGCCACTTCTACTTACTTGTAGTGGCGCTCTTGCATGTCATGCAATTTTAGCAAGTAAGTTGCCAGTCTACTGGTAATTTTGGTACTCGTAGAGTGCGTTGGCTTTTTACGGTGTGGTTTGTATCAGCACCAACGAATCCTGGACTGTCCACAATGACCGCGGTGTGTGATCGCTGGTTAAACTGAGTCGCTCTGAGTTCTCGGACCTCTAATCTATATTTTTAGAAGGAGCGTTTGAAATGCCCTCAGTTCGGCTTTCTTGTTAAAGAACAAGCGTCACAACCCAGAAAGGGTCATCATGTCTATTTTGGGCTTCCAGGGATGACACGCTCACATTTTTAAAATTTTCAATGGTCCCAACTTTGGCCATGCCGCCATGTGGCGTTGGCGGTGCAGCTTTTTCGATTGTGCAAAACCGCTATGTTATTTTGAAAGACCTTGCCAAGCTCGCAGGACGAGTCATCGTCATTGCTTGCTTGGGAAATAGCACATACATCGATCCATGGTTTTGGCGCGCTGCGACAAGAACTCCCTCTCAAACAATTCTACTGACCTTCTTTGGAAGGGAACCGCTGGGTAAGGTAGCACTCAACCGTGTTTGTCTCTATGGCTCTATGGTCTTGATACAGTACGGTTACCCTTGTTTGGTGTAAATTTTATGATGCCGGTATCGAGAAAGGCATTGTTGATTTATGACTAGCTAGCTAGTACCGTCACCGGTAGGGGAGAAAGGGTGGCTTGTGCCCTAAAGCTGCCCGGTACAGTACATTCCCACAGACGGACCACACATGTATATGTGCAATGCAACATCCATACCGCGTGGAACAATGGAGCCGACGAGAAATGCATTGGTGGAACTTCGTCTTGGCGGTGAAGCTTGATTCAACGTTTGAATGTTGCCGTGTTGCCGCGTTGCTGTGTTGTCTGGTATGCCCATTGACTGTTTCGCATGCCCATTGACTGGAACCGACTCGACTCTACAGTACTCGACTCTGCATGATTTGCAGATTTGCACTCTACATGTATTTTTTCTTCTTTCGTCGTGGCAGCACCTCCATGGGTTGTCCCAACGTATTCTTCCTTCCGTGCTACCCAGGTACGTTTAGTAGTTTGTCAAAGGCTCCGTGATGGGCAAGTATTGTACATTACGAGCTAAGGGAGAACCCCCGGGGGAATGGTGAACCTGTCGAGCATGCTCCTCGTTTGCTTTGGATGGCGACAATGCTGGAATCAATCTTTCCACAGACAGCTTCAGTGGCTGCGGTCAGTGGCTTGCTGGAAATACAAAAGTTTCCCCAACACTCCTCCAGAGCTGGTACCGTAGCTCGAATACCTCCACCATGAACAACGAGTAGGAAAAATTCTTAAGTAGAGATGTAGATCCTGTTCACAGCAAGAATTGAACCGGGGTGCACACGTTCAAAGCAACCTTGGGATTTGGATATCTTCGTCTACATACCGGTACGGTACTAGCCATGATGCAACGGGTTTCTCGTTGGGAATTACCCCCCGGAGAGGTTATGTTCCACGAGTAGTTGTATAGACGACTTAGCTCCTCGTTCTTTCTCGTTGACACTCAATGATTTCTGGTGCCAAAGGAATGATGTTGTTGGGAATGAAACACACAACAGTTCACAAAACGATCCTCCTAGCTTGTCATTTGGGGAAGTGAGGATGAGGAGCTTGCTTGATAGACTCGACTCCGATTGCTTGCGAGGTGGGTCACCCATGTCACTGGCTACCGGTACTAGTAGCTAGATGCCGAAAACTAGACCAGCCAACCGCTCATAGTCTACAGTGTGCCATAGGTCAGAAAAGAAATACTAAATAGATACGTTAAGGAGCGAGGGGGGCGAGGCTAGGCAAAGCAGTGGCTGCGGTGGTGGGTGGCTGGTGTGGTGTCATACAGTACGGCATAGGTGGTTGGCTGGGGCTTGCTTGACAACCCTACTATAGATTACTATGGAATTACACCAGCAGGATCACAAGGGCTGACTTGACAATGTGATTCTCTCATGCATGGCCGCCCAACTAAGAAACAGTACATAGACGCACCAGCCGTTTTTAGTCGGAGAACAGCATTGTAATTACTGTGTCGTTTTTACCTGTTTGCCTATGCACCTCTGTCACATTCGCGTTTCACGTATCACAAATAGTGGCTGTCTGCGAACACGCCAATGAAACCTAGCTAAATCTTTTGTCGACACGGCAATCACCAACATGTTTTAGACCTGGAGATTTATGAAGAGATTTAGGAGTCACAAACCCTTGCGTGGCCGCGATACGGCACCAATCTTGGTCTCCAGTCAGGCCCACCAGTTAGCGGAAATGGTAAGACGGTCAATTCGAGTGTGCACAAGCAGGAAGGAGGAAGACTTGTGATGAAAGGCAAGATCACCAAAGCACAGCGCCAACTTTATTAATTTTCGAAACCTCAACAATACCGTATCAACAATGCAACAAGCAATCCCTGAACAGCCACTAGCCTCGGCGTTGACGTCTTCCGACGCCAAAAAGGCCCAAGTTTCTCCATCCTCTGGCAGGAGCTGTGTCGACATCTGGAAACAATCAACTGGGTACCTTCATTTGGGCATTACCAAGTCTGTTATAGCCGTTAGTCTATTGGCAGCCCGCAACCCAAAAAGATGCATAGGCCTCGTCTGCCTGGTATCCATCACACTCATCACCACAGGCTTGCTTACCAATTTTTATTTGGACCCGGGTGACGAGCAAATCTTCGCCCCCGTCGACTGCCTGCCACAAGAGCACGGTCGGTGGATTGACGAAACCTATCCCGATGTTCGGCGGCCAACCGTCTTGACTGTGCACGCGGATGGGGGTAACATCATGACCTATGAAGCTATGAGACGAGTCTTCCAAGTCACAGACATGGTCCGGAATATCGACGGTTATGCGACCATTTGTGCGGGTGCAAATGGCGACAGTGAGGGCTGCCGCCTCCCTGGCCCAACCAGGTTCTGGAACCACAATGTGACGTTGTTCGAAGAGCAAACACAAGGATCTGATGAGGTGGTGATTCAGACATTATCCCAAGAATCTTTGGACGGAGCACCCTTCCCACATGACCTCTTTATTGGAAAGCTACAACGGGAGGTCGTCGATGGGCACAACCAAACGGACGATTCTCTCATCACGTTTGCTCAAGCTATCACTAGTCTTATCGAGATCCCAGAGTGGTCCAATGGCGAGACTGAAGCTTTTGAGCTGAAAATGATCAATCTGCTACAGCCTATCAAAGACGAATGGGCAGCTCAGGGAGAAGAACAGCCTTACCGGCTGGAGCTTTATGCCTTCCGTTCTATTCCGGATGAAGTGACAAGAGCCATTGCGAATGACGTACCCTTGATTCCCTGTGTGTTTGCCATTATGGCGGCATTCACGTGCATGGTTTTCTGTCGCAGAGATATCATCCAGTCTCGAGCACTGCTTGGCATCGGATCGGTCGTCACGATTCTTCTGTCTATCATGAGTGGGTTCGGGCTTGTCTTTATCATAGGGTTGCCTTTTACCAGCATGACTTCCATCCTACCGTTTGCTATTTTTGGCATTGGCCTCGATGACACTTTTATCATCGTAGGGGCATTCCTGAGGACAGACCCTACGAAAGATCCTGTTGAGCGCATCCGAGACACCATGGAAGAAGCTGGAATGAGTATATCCATGACAACCATCACAACTACTGTGGCGTTTGTAATGGGAGCATTAACATCCAGCATCCCCATCATTCAATGGCTGTGTCTTTACGGTAAGATTCGCTTCAGGCAGGAAAGTTGTACTGAACCGTTACTGGAAACTAACCCCAACTTTTTCTTGATCAGCATTTCCAACTATCTGCATTGATTTCCTCTATCAAATAACCTTCTTTGTCGCCATTCTTGTACTGGATGAAAGGCGAATTGCGGCAAATCGAAGAGGCTGTTGTGTTTGCTTCAGAGTGAAGAACCATGACAAAGAGGATGTTGACACGGAGGATGTTGACACGGATGAGATGGACGAGGATGTCTCGCCAGTAGCCAACCATGTCAAAGCACCAGTGGTTGACCGGTTCATGAACTGGTATTGTGAGCACCTGCTGCATCCTGTGGTCAAGAAAATTGTCATGATTGCCTTTTTAATTCTGTTTGGAGTCTGTATATACAGCACCACTCTCCTCAGACAAGACTTCAAACCAACAGACTTTCTGCCTGAAGTGTCTTACGCTGGGGAATACCTTGATGTCATCGACTTGTATTCCAATCGCAAGCTTCCAATTCTGGTACACTTTAGGGATGTCAACCAGTCTGACCCCCAAGTTCAACAGCAAATGATCGACTACCTGAATGATCTAGGGGGCCTTCCTCAGGTCAATTCCACCCCAGAAGTCTGCTGGGTCACAGACTTTCAAAAGCTACTGAATGGGGATGACCCGGCCTTTCAAGCGTACTCATCTCTTTTCGGCAACAACAGCACTCTGACATTCACGGAGAAACTGGACATCTTGCTGAATATACCAGAGATCAATGATGTCTATGGGAAGGACATTGTACGTAATGAAGCCGGAGAAATTGTAGGCTCCTCGTGTCTTTTTTCTGTCAACGGGGTTGACCTTAATGACATCAATGACCAGAGCGACTTCCTTGCTGACCAACGGAGAGTTGCCGAGGCACAGCCAGCCAATCAAGGTGGTGGCAGATTCAAGTTTTTCGCATTTGACCCCATCTATTTCATCTGGGAGTTCTACACTGATGTGCCCTCTGAGCTTATGTTTACCACAGTTTCCGGTGAGTTCACTAGGGGAACATGTGCTTTGAATACGTCATTTGACAGTGCGACTAACCAACCTCCCATCCTGCTGCCTCAGGTGTTGTGGCAGTTACTGTACTTGCATTCATCCTCATCCCACACTGGACGGCTGCACTCTTTGTGTTTCCATTTATGTGTATCCTCTACATCGACCTATTGGGGATGCTCCAGTTTGCCGGACTCAGCATCAACCCCTTGACCTACATCTGCCTTGTGATCTCGGTGGGTCTCTTGGTGGACTTCATCATGGTATGTTGAGCTCTGGTTAGCTGTTGCAGGGAGGCCTTGCAAAAGTAATGTGCAGAACCTCACATACCATTTCTTGTCAGCACATCCTTCTCCGTTACTATGAATCTGCCATGCCCACTCGCGAGGAAAAGGTCAAGGACACTCTGAGAACCATGGGGTCTTCCATCTTAGTGGGCGGCCTCTCTACCTGTCTGGGGGTGTTTCCATTGGCATTCAGCAGCAGTGGAATCATTAAGACAGTTTTTGTAATGTTCATGGCAATGGTTGCCTTGGGTGTTGCGCATGGTTTAATGCTGTTGCCAGTGATTCTGTCATATGTGGGGCCTTCAGTGTGCATTAAACAAGAGCACCGTGCCAATGCCACTCAGGAGACGCCTGAAACGTCCACAGCTACCGGTATGGTACCAGTCGAGTTCCCCGGCGAGGCTCGGTCTGTTGACTACACTTCGGATTCTGAAAATGTTCTGAGTAAAGAAGGTTCATTTAGCAGCCAAGAAGATCTACCGCCAGACTTCATCCCTCCCCGAGTGTGCCTGGAGAGGAATACATCCTTTGGAACAGAGTACAGCGTCTAACCAGCCACTGGCACCATGCCTCCCCCCTTCATTCCTCCGCTCCTGTTGCCATCACAGTGATAGCCACATATTAAAATAGATAAAGAAAGTGTACCTTAGTTTCTTGAAAGATTCGATCCGTTCTTCTGCAACTTGGTAGTTTGGAGCTGCGGAAGCACAGTCTCTGTCCCGAAACACGCTGCTTCGTGGTGTCGGGAGCTCCGTCGTACGTGCTCTTGCTTCTGCTCGCTGTGGAGTTGACAGGTGCGCGAGCAAGGAAAATCAGGGAAGTTGTACGGGCAGCAATCACTTGCCCGCCATGGCAAACTTCGTCAAACCATGAATGGGCGTTTACCGAGCAGCAGCCAGGTCTGTGTATCGAGTGCGGTGACGTACATAGTCGCTGACTGGAGCCGGCGACGTGTAGTTCTCTCTTCCAAGAACTTGAACCTTTTAAACATCCAAAGCGACCGCAAAAGGTCTGGGCTGCCGTCGACCGTATTTCGAGCTAGCTTCGAGTCACTACGCAGGCGGGCGACAGTCCGGGGGCCGGTAAAGCGCTGTCTGTCACAGAGCTCTTGCTTAGATAGACAGCGGCTGCCGTATCCCAGCTACTAGTATGACCAAACCGCATATCCATACTATCATGAGAACGGACAGGGCAGATCATGAAGGGAAAAAACGAAGCATTATTTTATTTTTTACCCGCTGAACGGTGCCGTACCAGGTACGGTACAGAGCTGGTACGGTCGGCAGAGCTGGGCAGTCGGGGTAAACGAGAGTTCGTTGGCCCCGCCGCGAGCTTTGGAGCCTTCCTCGCCACGCACTTCCGAGTTCTCACAAAAAGAGCTTCAAGAAATGAAAGACAGCGTTAGAAGGGTAGTTCTGGTAAATATGGGTTACGTAAAGGTCTACTGAGTATCAAGAGCTCCATGAAGCCACCGTGGTTGGTTTTACCGCATCTTTCTGAACTCTGAACTCCCCAGCTGTCTGGAAGAACGTCTCAGCGCTTCTTTGTCCCGTGTGCCGCTCATCAGCGCCTTGTAAAATTTCCAGAGCCGGATGATAGTTTTTACGCCCGTCATGCAAAAAAAATGGCTCTTATTGTGACACCAGTAGTAATCGCCCAAACAAAAAAGAGACAGCAAATGACCGCTAAAAGAGCGTCACACTACGGCTCACAATCGACAACAAACGCTCCTGCGAGTACATACATTTGCAAGAAAAGAAAAAGCACCAAAGGCGAGTGCTGCCTCCACGGGTAGACCAACACCACCTTTAGAAGCACAAGAAGCTTGTCCAAGTACGTCTCGACAACAACAACAATGCTAGCAACAATCCCTGATGCAGCCGAGCCGCAACAGGTGCCTCCCACCACCCAACACAATGACGACAAAGTCTCTGGTGTGATCGGTGGCTGTGTCTCTTGTTGGAAACGAGCGACAGGGTTTCTACACTTGGGGATTACCAATTCTGTCATCGCTTTCAGTCTCTTAGCAGCTCGGAACCCCAAGAGGTGCATTGGCCTTGTCTGCCTGCTATCCATTGCCTTGATAACCACTGGCGTATATACCAATATGGAAGTGAGCACGGACGATGAACAAGTTTATGCTCCGGTCAAAAGCCTGTTGAGAGATCGCTATAAGTGGGTGGACGAAACATATCCTGTCTTTTGGCGGCCACTCATGATGATTGTGCACGCCAATGGGGATAATGTCATGACCTATGAAGCCATGAGACGACTAATGGAAGCCACCAACCAGGTCCAAGCTTTGGATCGTTACGAGACCATGTGCGCTGGCTCTGATGGAACCAATAGTGGCTGTGGTATCCCTGGTCCTACTAGGTTCTGGCAACATAATATGACATTGTTCGAAAAGCAGACACAGGGGTCTGATGAGGTGGTGATGCAGACTCTATCCCAAGAATTTTTGGATGGAGTTCCCTTCCCACACAGCTTGTTCATTGGGAATATACAGCGAGAAGAAATCACAGGCAAAGAGGGGGGGAATGCCACGGCTCTCATCACATCGGCTCAATCCTTGTTCACTATGATTGAATTCCCATACTGGCCCAATGGAGAAAGCCAGGAGTTTGAGCTGGAAATGATCAATCTACTGAAACCCATGAAAGACGACTGGGCAGCTCAGGGAGAAGACCAGCCTTACCGACTAGAGTTTTACGCTCTTAGAACCCTACCGGATGAGCTCACTCGAGCCATTGAAAGTGATATTCCCTTGATTCCTTGTGTCTTTGCCGTCATGGCAGCATTCACGTGCATGGTTTTTTGCCGCAGAGATGTCATCCAATCGCGGGCACTGCTGGGCATCGGGTCAGTGGTCACGATTCTGCTGTCTATCATGAGTGGCTTTGGGCTGATGTTTATCATAGGGCTGCCTTTTACTAGCATGACAACAATCCTTCCATTTGCCATTTTTGGGATTGGACTAGACGACACATTTATTATTGTTGGGGCATACCTGAGGACAGACCCTGCCAAAGATCCTGTTGAGCGGATTCGAGAAACCATGGAAGAGGTTGGAGTGAGCATATCCTTGACAACAATCACAACTACCGTGGCATTTGTAATGGGGGCATTGACATCCAGCATCCCCATCATTCAATGGCTGTGCCTCTATGGTAAGGTTTGACACAGGTCAGACTCTCCTGGCTTTTGTACCTGGCAACTCACATTTCATTTTTGTCTTTGCATAGCATTTCCAACCATCTGTATTGATTTCCTGTATCAGATATCCTTCTTTGTTGCCATCTTGGTATTGGATGAACGGCGAATTGCAGCAAATCGAAGAGGCTGCTGTGTGTGTTTCCGTGTCAGCAAAAGGGGCAAAGCAGACACGGATGGATTGGATGAGGATGTCCCGCAGGTAGCCGTCCCCATCAAAGCACCGGTGGTTGACCGGTTCATGGCATGGTACTGCGAACATCTGTTCCACCCTATCATAAAGGTGTTTGTCATGATTGCCTTTGCAGCCTTGCTCAGTGTCTGCATTTACAGCACGACCCTTCTCGAACAAGAGTTCAAGCCAGCCGAATTTCTGCCTGATGGGTCTTATGCATTCGCCTTCATTGATTCTTTGAACATGTATACCAATCGCAAAATGGGAATCTTTGCTTTCTTTCGGGATATTGATCAGTCTGACCCACAAGTTCAACAGCAAATGATTGACTACCTTCACGATCTAGGGGAGCTTCCTCAGGTCAATGCCAAGGGTACACCGGATCTCTGCTGGGTCACAGACTTTCAAAAGATATTGAATGGGGATGACCCAGCCTTGGAAGCGTACTCATCCCTACTTGGGGAAAACAGCACTCTGACATTCACAGAGAAACTGGATTTCCTGCTGAGTTTTCCAGAAATCAATCAAGCATATGGGAATAGTATTGTGCGAAATGAGGATGGAGAAATCGTGGCGTCTAATTGTTGGGTTGCTGTCAACTATCTTGACATGGACGTGGTCCAGGAACAGATTACCTTCCTCGCTGACCAGCAAAAGGTTACAGCGGCACAACCTATCAATCAAGGCGATGAAAGATACAAGTTCTTTGCATTTGATATTGTCTATTTCATCTGGGAATTCTACTCTGTTGTGGTCAAAGAGCTCACCTTCACCACAGTTTCGGGTGGGTCCACTCAGTTGATGCAGTATGCATGTGTGTTTGTTTGTCTGTCAGGATGACTAATTCCCCCCCCCTTGCCGTTGTCTCTTCTGGCAGGTATCGTGGCAGTTACTGTAATTGCCTTCATCCTCATCCCGCACTGGTCTGCGGCACTTTTTGTGTTCCCTTTGATGTGCATGCTGTACATAGACTTATTGGGGATACTCCAGTTTGCAGGGCTCTCTGTCAACCCCTTGACCTACATATGCCTTGTGATCTCTGTGGGTCTCTTGGTGGACTTTATCATGGTATGTTGATCTCTAGGTTGCTGCGACCATAGGGTCTGGGCTTACAAGGTTTGCTGAACCTCACATCCTATCTCTTGCCAGCACATGATCCTCCGTTACTACGAGTCCAGAATGCCCACTCGCGAGGAAAAGGTCAAGGATACACTGAGAACAATGGGGTCTTCCATTCTGGTTGGTGGTCTCTCTACCTGTCTGGGTGTTTCCCTGTTGGCATTCAGCAGCGGTGGACTCATTCAGACAGTCTTCATTATGTTCATCGCCATGGTTTCTGTGGGTCTTGCACATGGTTTGATTCTGTTGCCAGTGATCTTATCATATGTGGGGCCAACTGTATGCATCAAGCCTGACCACTGTGAAGGTGACAATCAGTGGGAGACTCCAGATGATGATGACGACGACGACGACGAGAAGAACACGGAACTGTCTCCAGAGGATGGTGCAATGTCGAAATCGAACGTTGCTGATCGTCCAGAACCGATCGATTGGCTAGCTCTCTGCACGCCCGCAACTACGGAAGACGAGTCAGACACTAGCACTCCAGGATTTGTTACAGAAGTGGAAGAGCCAGCAAGCAGCATGCCTGGAACCCCAAAAGAGGCGCCACCACAAGACGTCCTGGAAGCCAACGGCACGCCAGAAAGTCCCCCCAAGGCAGCTAACGAGGACGACTGTGGCGAAGACGAGGACGAGACAAGGATTGTCGCCACTTCCACGGAAGATGTCATGATAACAACCTGCTGCGACGCATCATTTGGAACGCAGTACGGTGTGAAGCTAGCTAGGGCTGCAGCTGCTAGTAGGTAGTGATCCGTCCGCAGACCATGCCGCCATAAAAGCCGCTGCGATCACCCCTCCGCAAAATAAGTGCGAGCTACTGAATACATTAATTATGGCTGTGAATCACTCATCGATAAACTTCTTCCCTGCATGCACCATCTTTTTCGATAGTTTTCGTCCTTGTAGTGCTGTCCCTTGGTCTCTTTCTTCCGCTCGTGGTTCGTCGGCTGGCTGTCCCATCAAAACGATGATTGTTTGTTTGTCTGTCTTGCTGGTTAGATGAAATCGCGGAGATTTTGGTATTAATCGTCTCTCTGTTGTTATTTATTAACAAGTTTATGAATGTATTTTACTGGTTGCGTGCGTGAATAGCAAAACTGCTGTCGATCTGTGGTGACTTGCCAGTCTATTACTGCGCCAGCTGCATTTTGAAATTCTGCACGGCCGGTATTTGGTTGGCGAGTGGCGCTTGGAGGAAATCCTGATACAATGGTTTCCAATTGAAACTCTTTTTGAGTTGATCGGTTCTCTTGGGGCGGCCCCAGTCGTCACGATCGACCGTGCGCTTGCGTTGGGCTGCCAGAAAGCAGTCAAAGTAGTGTCGGTACGTTCGTTCGTCGTGTTCAATGCCCAACAAGTTATCCAGGGTGGACTTGGTAAAGGGTACGGATTCGTCCATGGCATCCAAATCATCGGGATTCATGGCGGCTACCAACGAGCAAATGAGATAGAATCCCACTGTAAACGGCAGCGCCGTACCCTGATCACGGTGCACTTCATCGGCTTCATCGTTAAAGTCATCGCATTCGGCGCAGTAGGAAATGATTTCTTCTGCATCCTTCATCCATTCGACTTGATCGTCGTCACCGGTGCAACTCAAAAAGGTCATGGGATTGCCTTGTGGATTGGGTCGGTTCATGAGCATGCGGACAATTTCGGCCTTGGCGTGGTTGCCTCCGTTGGGTTGCCCGTCGCAAAAGAGATAGCGGGATACGTTGCGTCCTTCTCCACGGGCCAATGACTCGTGCATGCGTTCCAGGACGGGTGTAGTGCCGCTGGGAGGACGACGGAATGCTTGGTCAATCTGTTGGTAGGCATCGGCCATGAAGGCTTCTGGAGAACGTCCATTGCGCTGTAACACCAGACGATCGGATCGGTTCAGAAAGCAAACGTGTATTTGAGGAAAGGGGACATATGCCAGAATCTCAAGCATGGCCTTGAGGCGACTTTGCGCTTCTTGCCATCGTGTTTGTGGATGTCGGTGGGCATCGACCGTGTCGGAAGTGTTGTTCATACTACCGCTGTCGTCCACTGTGAATTCCAGGAGATCATACTCGGTGAGAACCATGAGCTTGTTCATTAGGCCCATGGGAACTTCGTATTTGTTGAGTACTTTTCCCAGTTCATCAATGACTTCATCGGCGGCCATTCCGGCTTCGAGTGCAATTTCGGGTTCTTGCATGATTTCCATGGTAGCCACGGTAGCTTCGGCCAGTGGAATTTCTTCGCCACCGGCTGCCACGGAGGCTTCGCATAGCTTTTTGTGATCTTCCATGTTTGTCACGACGGGAAGTGCTTGCTTGGGATAGAGAGCCGTGGTGCCCGGTTGTCCGTCTTGTTGGGCGTCCTTCCATCGCTTCCACGCAGGATTCAGCTTGGTGATGCCATTGACTTTTGTGTATTTCTTGGGTGCCGTTGTATTCCGCAGTTGTGATGCTGGTATCATGGATGCCATTGTGTTTTGCATGCTGTTTTTAAAGTTATTAAACGGTGCCATGGCTTGTGTGTTGTGTGTGTTGTCGTAGTTGAGTTTGGTTCTTGTTCTTGTTGATTTTATGAGATCAGTTTTATGAGAAGTTTGCTGTTGGAAGCAAGTCGGGATTGGGACTTTGCTGGATTCGATTGTCATTCCATCCTGAGGGGTCTTGGTCGTGAACCTGATTGAATGTCGGCAAGACTGAAAACTGCGTAAAATTGTTCGGATTCCCGTGGGTTGGGCAGGCGCGTAGGACTGACGTCAGAACTTTTTTTTAAAAAAGAAGACCGTGCTGGAGTTCGACAACTGTGACCAAACCTTTTGTGGTCCTTCCCGGAAACTCTGCAGTTAACAGTCCTGTTTAGCCTGTGCGTGTGCACTGGCGCGGAGGAATCGAATGGAGTTGTGAGGATTCGAATATTCGAATGGGCTTTCCTTCCATCTCTGACATCGAATCCAACCCAAAGCTGCGGATCACTCGGAGTGGAAGTGTTTGCTCCAGGCCTTTCCTCTGTTTACTCCTCGTCTCATCTCTGGCTTGATTGTTCTCCTTCGCATAAAACTGCATCCATTGCCCAACGAACTACTGTACAACTTAGTTAGTAGCAGAGCAACATGGTTGCCACAAGAAGACAAGCAGATAATAATACTATGCTGGATCATGCCACCATGATGATCACAGTGGCAGATTCTGCCATTTGTGCCAAAATCAACCGCATGAAACAAATCTGCAAGATGAAAGGGAATCAGACTTGTGCGGATTGTCCTTCCAAGAGACCACTTGGGGTGTCCTTCCTTTCGCGGGACAAGAACAAGAAGATGGCTGCTGTCCTCTGCTGCTCTCAATGCATTCGACACCACAAGTTGGGACTGGGGAACCAGACTCGCAAGATCCAGTACTCCAGAATGATACAGGAGTGTAAGTACAGTACATCAATCGAGCATGCATTAGTCTAGCACAAGACGGATGGATCCACTGTTCTCACAATTCCTCTTTCTTCATACTATGATACATCATGCAGGGACAACAGAGAACCTGGATACTCTAGAGTACAGTGGAAACAAGATGGTCAACGAACTCTATGAAGCAAAGCTCAGCACTACCAAAGACTTTGACAAAAACCATGTCTCACACATGGCTGAGAAAGAATGGAAGCGTCGAGACAAGTTCATCAAGGACAAGTATCAAAAGGGCAGATATTATAAAGGGCCACAAGAAGAAACAAAGTGGTCTTCCGAAGAAAACATGAAGAGGTCTTCCTCGCTGCCGCTGGTATTGCTCGCTGATGACGAATCTTCTTCATCCTCCTCATCGTCGCATGTTTCCACAATGGCGCCGTACCATGAGCAGCGGCAACATCAACATCGTCGTGAAAGCAAAGCAGAGGACAGAAGAGAAGAGTCCAGGTCACGAGTGCGTAGCATTCTGCAGCGTCAAAGAAGTCGCAGTGAGGGATACAAGGCGAGAAAACGAGAAGGAGCTGATCCTCGTTCCCACCACAAAAGAAGTCAAATCCCCAGCACTATTTCTCTGCAAGTGGATACGCCCAAGAAGACAGCAGAAAAGACCAGCCACAGTAGCCGTAGCCATCGATCATCGCTTGCACGAAGCAACAACAACCACAACCACAACCACAGCAGAAGGCAGGAAGCTCTGGAAGGACGCGCATCTCGCAGAAAACAGGGTGCGCTTACCCGCCGCAGGAGCCGGTCGGAGGGGAGGAGCGAAAGAGAAAAAGTTTCACATGAACTCAAGAGCCGAAGCGATAGCAGTCTTCTTGGCAGCAGTAGACGCATCAGGCTCAGTGCAACCATGCTTATTAATCCTGATCATTCGACGGGAGTTCCAGAAAACTTCAATAAGGTGAACTTCGACGGGCCTGAAAGGTATCGGGAAGCACTCAAGCAAATGGTCCAGCCCGCAAACACGGAGGCCCCGGTTGTGCGGGGATCTCGAAGGAAAGAATCCTAATAGTATCACTAACAGGTAACTTAGCATTATTCAATGTCATCGAAATCATGTCACAAAATTCTACAGTTAGCTACTGCTATGACATACCGGGATCACCTCTCTGGCGTCCGTCTGGGTCTGCCATGGATCGTTCCAGAGCCAACTCTAGCATTTCATTCTCTCGCAACTCATACAAGGACATCTTCACGGCCATTGCTAGCATCTCCTTCTCTTGCTCCTCTTCAGCGATCTGCAGAGTGAGCTGAGACCTACTGCGTTGCTCACGATGAGCTCTTGAATGGGGCACTTTTCTGAACGTCCATCGATATCTGTGCCTTTTTCCACCATCCATGTACTCCTTTCTATTCCCAAGGTACACATTACTGATTCCATTGCTACGTATGTAATTGCCACTGATATGTCCCATGATTTCCACTGAATATGCTTCGTTTCCAAGTTCGTCAATCCCACATTCACAGTTATAGAATGCCCATAGACCAAGCTCTTGACTCGACAGTCGACTTGAGCTTATTGGACACGATATTACGGTCATCTTTGATGGCATAAATAATACGATCCTTTACGACGTTCCAGATTTTGGGTGTCGAGCTCAGCTTCAAATAGTTTCTGCCATCAACATTGATGAACCGCGCATCGGCTTGCATGCTAGATATCACATAGTTTCCAGTGGGGAGTGGGCACCGTGCCACGAGGCCAGGATTATAGAAAATGGAAGCAGCCGTGGCGTCAGGATAATTCGTACCCCATCGAGACCGCATAGTGAACTGCTTGATAAAGAGGTGTGCTTGATAATGAGGATTGCTTGACCCAAGTTGGTTGGTTGGCTTGTTTATGGAAGAGCTGACCTTTGGGCTCCTACTAGTATCTCCCCATTTGTGGGTCGTTGGGTCCCGGCTACCAGTACACGACTGACAGCACGAGTTTTGGTTTTATTCCAGGATTCAAAAACCATTTGGATCAGAAAAATATATAAAAATCCACCGATTTTGACGTTTCCGTCTACTGGTTTTAAGAAAATAATAGTTGTTCTACTAGCAGTTGTGCGTCTGTTTAGCCCACGCTTGATGCTGCTTTGTGCGGGGAAACTCAGCGTTAATTTTTGGTGGGTGGCCTTGGAGAACCTCTAGAAAATCAAGACTGGGCCGATCAAGTGTGACTGACAGGGCGTGGTACTCACACTGTTTTAGCATGTGAGTATGGGTACTGAGTAGTACTCACAATTCCAAAGTCAAGTGAGTATGGGTACTGGGTAATACTCACAATTCCCAGGGTCAAGTGAGTACGGGTATCATGTGAGTACAGGTACTTTGTGGGTACTATAGAGTACTCACTGAGTACTCATAAATCAATTAGACTACTTAGGGAAATTATCTAGGTTTTTCTGTTCTGGGCTGGGGGCTCATCATCTTGTTGTAAAGGTCCACCATGGAATCAATACACTGTCATAATCTCTCTTCACATCTGCTGGCATTTAGCTTGAGGAGATCCTTGTTCCTATTCTTAGCCCATTCTTTTCTTGCATCATTGATGCATTTGCTTGTAGTTCTGGTGTATGCACTGTTCTTGTAGCAAGAAGGCGCATTTGGAATGTCATGTAAACCTTCTGTCATTGCTAGTTTTCCATCAAACCATGTACAAGAACTGAAAACTCTTTCTTGGAAGCCACAAAATACTCACCAGTACTCACTGGTACTCACTTCAAGTACTCACCGAAGTACTCACCGAAGATCAAAAAGTACTCAAAATCCGGAGTCATGTGAGTACGGGTACTGAGTAATACTCACATTTTCTGAGGTCATGTGAGTATGGGTACTGAGTATACTCAGTACTCAGTACCCGTACTCACATCGAGTACACGCAGCGTGTATTTCATGTGAGTCCCACACCCTGGTGACTGATGCTGCGTGCCGAAGTGCGCTGCTTTGGCGCTTTTTCTACCCGTGCCGTACTCTTGCCTGCAAGTCGAATTCGTGGGGGCTTACAGTATTGCGTGAAAACTTGAAGGCTCACGATCTTGCAAAATCCACTTTTGTTCAGCCCTTCTGCCCGGGGCCAATACATGGACTCCCCACAAACCCAACCAGTCGCAATCCCAAACAGAGCAAAGTATAAAGGGCATGTGTACCGCAACAACAACAGAGGCAATGGAAAGCCGTTCGAGAAGGATGGACTACATGAAACATATTTCCAGGCAACCAGGAAATCAGACCTGTGCGGACTGTCCCGCCAAACGACCCCTCTGGGCTTCCTTCTTGTTTCGGGATGATGGTCAAAAGATGGCTGTCCTTTGTTGTTCACAGTGCATTCAGCATCACAACTTTGAGCTGGGTGATCAGCAGTGCAAAATCAAGTACTCCAAAATGATACATGAATGTAAGTAGCCACCAAACATGTGCAGCCTTCTCCTACACGGCAAAGCACTTCTCATAGTTCAATTTCCTTCCGTCTATCATCAAAACAGGGACTTTGGAGAACATTGAAACTCTAGAGAAAACTGGGAATAGTGTGGTGAACAAGAGATATGAAGCCAAGCTTACTACCAAAGATTTTGACAAGAATCTGATCTTGCCAGTTGCAGAGAAGGAATGGAAACGCCGAGCCAAGTTTATCAAGAACAAGTACGAAAAGTGCAAATACCAAGAGGCAAAGGATGAAATGCCGCAATACGTGTTAATGGACGACTCGTCTTCTTCGGGAAGCCTAGCCAACAGTGGAAGGGAAAGCGCTGCCTTAATGGCACGAACCCAACGAAGACGACGCCAAAGTACTACATGCACTTCCAAGTCAGACCATGGACGACAGCCTAGATCGACAATACCGGTACCGGTACGAGATTCCACCATTCAACGCCAAAGAAGCCGGAGCGAGGAATTCAGAAGAGCAAACTCATCTCTGACTCGTACTCGTAGCAAAAGTGAGCGTCCCATGAGGACTTCTCGGCTGAGCCAAAACTTGGAGGAGCGCAGTAGCCTTCGAGCACATTCGCACCCCAGCCGTGGCAGCATTACTAAACAGGACGAGCGTGGCAGCCTCCGAGCAACTACGCACCCCAGCCGTGGAAGCATGAGAAAGCAAGAAAAGCGAGCTTCTACACGAAAACGAAGGCCAAGCACGCGAGAACTGCATCGACGCAGGAGCCGATCCGAAAGCAGAGGCCAAAGGAAGGGATCACTGGAACCCCATCGTCGCCGTAGCAATAGTGAGAGCCGCCTTGTGGTTGGAAGCAGTGGAAGCGAGTCTACAACCATGAAAACGAGACGGGAGGAAGCTACTAGCTTTAGCACGACCAAAGTTTGTATTGATCGGTATCGGGATGCATTCAAGAAGCTCACCAATGTTGCTGTTGCCCCCGAGGCCACGGAGACAAAGATTGTGTCAAGAGGAACGGTTTTAACGATGGAACCTTCCACAAAGGTCCCCAGAACCAGCCATCGGAATCAGCAACTCAAAACTTGGGAAGGATTCAATGACAAGGCATTTTGAAACGAAAGCTGATCTCATTAATAAACTAAACGTTAGCTTTCCTCAAAAGATGTGCTGACAGAAACTGATGGATTGGAAACAGGCAAGATGGGGTTGCTCATCTGCAGTCGCGTGCATTGGGAACTGGTCCACATTACTCTTTAGCCATCTAGCTATAGACTTTCAACCAGCTAGACAGGTCGGTTCTGGGGTCGAGTGTAACCGGCGGTCGATGGCTGAGCAGACATTGGACCGGCAGCTAACGGTTGGATAAAAAAAATGTATCGAGCAAAAAAGAGGAGGATCGACAAGTATCTCGAAGTCCACCCATGGCTGCATTGGAACCAGCCCTGGATTGATGGGTCTGAGATTCTTCGCATGTGTACTGTAGAACTTGCATGTGGAGAGCTGGACTTTCAACCAGCAAGACAGGTTCATTTGGTTGAATCGAGTCATTGCTGTGCTGCCCGTTCTGGCTAGCCATTGGCAAAGCACCATGATCTACCTGATGGAAGAGGCTCCGAAGCCTTCTTTTTGATCAAAACGTCAAAGGACGTCAACGAGGAGAGCACCCTCTTTGTCTACCATTCTACACTAACTCAATGTACCAGTCTACCCGCACCGTAATTAGCTAGTAAACCGAATTTAGTCATTTACTTTCGACTGGGTTCTTTGAGCTTGTCTCAGTATTGATTGTTGTGGCAGGTTCCTAAAAGCGTTGCTCTTGTTTCTGGTCCCTGTGCCAAGAAGTCAGCGTTGCTTTCGTGTTCTCTTTTTAATAACTGGGTGGCACCACTCAATTTCTGTTCATTCAACTCGCAGCAAAACCATTCCTACCCGTTCCAGTATTGGCTAAAGTTTAAATTCCTTTTCATTGGTATACCTCAACTGCAAGAATTCGATCATCTTGTTAAAAGTCTTCATAGCAGCAATTTCTGGTGTTGGTGTCAAGTAGAATTTGTCAAGTCTTCCCCCCTCAAATTGGCAACCCACTGCAATCTTGGAAGTAATGTGGGTGGGTAGAGCTTTCCTTGCAAGTGCCACGAGCAAGTTAATGCCCGAAGGTGTGTGAAACATTTTGATTTGCTGGAAGTTCATTGGATAGGACCCATAAAAGTCGCCAAATACATGCCGCCACAGTTTCACATCCATCATGTCGGAATGCAAGCAGTACCCCTCACATTCTGCAAAGAAAATGACCCCCTTCCGAGTTGCCTCTATATCTGGATTGAGCATGCGGCACAAGTAATGAACAATAAGCAAGGTTGTCCGCATCTTCTCGTGGGTTTTATACCCGCGAAATTTGGGATTATCAAACACTACCACAAAAGTTTCATCTTCAGCACTGAAGTACACTGAAAGAATTGCACCTGGCCAATACTCTAACATTTTGGTGAATGAGCGCCTGGCCTCTTCGAGTGAATCCTGGATTTTCAGATCCCCCTTGAGTTCCTGCATTACCCACACACGGCGAATGGCCTCGTCTACATCATGCTGGACCACAATGGCAAGCTGAGCACATGTGAGATCAGAGACATTGTCAAGTTCTGCAGAGCTCTGGATGTGTTCCCTGATGGCCAAGGCCCATTCTCGTTCTTGTTCTGTCAGCTGCATCCGTTTTGGGTCCAGCAGCGGGGGAACTGGTACACGCAGTAGTGACCAGAAACAAGCAGCAGCAGGATTCATAGGTAAGAATGCTTGTTGCTGCTGTTGCTGCTGTTGGTCTAAATGATCATTTCGAGGGCGGTCATTGTTCCCTTGGGGTTGATTGTTTGTGTTATCATGCGGTTGTATCATCCTTCTCAATTGTGGTGCTGTTGCTGATAACAGCTTCGGGAAGATGTATCGAACCACCTCGGAAATTAACGGGAAGACCACTTCGAGCGTAGCTTTATCTACAGTCAGAATTGGGTGGGGGTGGTCGGAGAAATCCAGTGGCATTCCGTGTTCCTTGCCAACCGATGACCGGGACTCGACTTGACTCTCTTGCGGTAGTCGAGTCACGAGTCAGTTTCTTGGCTTCGATACGCGATTTTGCAGCTTCACTGCTTTGAAAGCAATGACAACACCTGGCAACCACCCGAGGACAAGAACACACCCTCCTTTGTTGCTATACTTCTACCTGTCGTTTGTCACTGTTTATCTGGTACCTCTTGTTACTTCCGCTTCAAATGAGTGGGACTCTTGATGATGATGCTCCAGTCGAAGGCGCTGCCATCAATGAGGCAGAGTCTACAGCTGATCTTGGAGTCAGAGTCTGTATGGTTGCCGCCAACAAACTGTCGGCTGCCAATATCCCAGCCTGTTCCATTCGCCCGTATTGCCTGTTTGTGGCATGGAATGGTGTCTTGACGTTGGTCTATGAGGGGTTCCCTCCGTCCCTCATTCAAGCCAAGGAGATTATGTCATCCTCCATTCCCAATCTCAAAAAGGAAAACTTTGGTTCGAAATGGCCGAAAAGTACGCTGGCGGCTGTCTTTGATACAGCCCCCGAAATGACACTCGCAGAATTGACTCGACTCAAAGATATTTGTGATACGTACAGTCAAAGGATCCAAAGTGGCAACAACCAGGAAGAAAAAGCAAAGACAGATTCGGCTATCAGCATGGACATTGGGAAAATTTCCGTTGTGGAGTACGACTGTCGAAGCCTGGAAAAGCTCCAGTCTCGTGTGGATGTATCACTTGCCTGCCACGGACACTCTCCAGCGGGCCCATCGGATGAGCAACAGGCGATCGTCCAATCGGTCGTCAACGAATGGTCTACAGACCTTTCGAACTATCTGCCCAAGGTCAACGCCCCCGGGTCTCGCATGACTTCCTATCGCCAGCCCATGAGCGGTGCCACTTGTGTCACCTTTTTGGAAATGCCTGAATCGTTGCGTCAGATACTGGTAGAGTTTCGAATAGCCGTGGATTTGGAATTTCCGGGACGATATTCCTGGTTGGCGGAAAAGTCGTGGCATTGTACCTTGCGGTCCTTGGACACAACTACTGCAAGTCGCTAGCTAGCTGGAAGCCTGAATGGAAACAAAGCTCCGCCCCATTAACTCTGTGCTTCACAGCTGCTGTACTTGGTTTCATCGAATGCCCTGCGATCGAGGCAGACAACAGCGTCCGAACAACTGTGACTGCATCCGTCATGATAGTATGGTGGCTAGTATCCCCGCAGTCCTGCGGGAGACCAGGGTTCGATTTCCCGTGACGGAGAACTTGTTTTCCACACCTTCCTGCCACCATCTACTAGACTAGTTAGATCCGGTTTTATTAAAATTCTAAAACCCCCCATCCCAAGTGTGACTGCGCTTGGTGCCAGCTAGCTAGAGCAATGGAAAACTGGACCTCGACATTGAGATTTTAAAATCAGTCTTGGAAGCAATTACCAAGAGCACCAAGTCTGGAACACACAACACACACAATTGTTTCGGATCCTAATCGATCCGAGCACCCATCGCCTTGAAATTGTTATCCCCGACTGATGTTCTCGGTGCCGTGCGGTACATGTGGATCTACATTTACCACTCGTGGTATGAGAGGCAGGCAGTAAGGTACGAGTACGCCATGGAAACGAGAGCAAAAGGGAGAGTAGTTTGCTTTCAAGGAGTTGATGGCCGAAAACCTTGCCAGGAGCGCCCAAGTTCTGCAGGATGTGGACGAGCAAACCACGACAGCTATCATCTATATCCAGCAGCCAAAAAGATCAACTTGGACTCTCACAAACTTACAATCTTATTTCAGACTCTCACAAACATACAAATCTGATTTCACAAAAAAAGCCAACCAACTAAAGGAAACACAAAGAACAGCAACTACAGTATGACATCCACAACGCAAAATGAAAACGCCTTGTCCATATCTACTCAGGACATGGTGGAAGAAGCCAAGAAACACGTCGAGTTTCTTTCGATCCTTCATGCTTTGTCGATTACTTTGACAAAGCCCTCCCGACACAGCCTGGATAGGTACCTAAACTTCTGGCTGCCTCTGGTCAATCAACAAATCAGCCAGCCCGGGAAAGCACGGGCTCTCATCCCACCGCCAGATATTGCCTGGCTTTGGCATTGCCATCGTCTGGCTCCTGCTCGCTACGAGCGCCACTGCCAGGAACGCTTCCAGAAGATTGTGGAGTCTCAAAAGGCGGCCTTCCTCTTGCAGCTACCAGAAAACAGAACAGCATCCATCCAGGCCACGAGAGATCTTTGGAACTTGCTTTATCCTGACGAACCATTCTTTTTGACCAACAAGGACCCAAACGCCACCGATAATGCCCGCTTGGCTAGCTGCGTTGAGGGCGTTGTGAACTTGGATTCTTTCCTGCGAGAGTTTGACTTGCTCGAGTCTACGGAAAGGCAAGCCACGTTCCTCTATCAAGTTACACAACCAAGGTTCAGCGATGGTGCATTCTTGAAGCAAGGAGTCAAAAACTACGTTCGATTCCTACAGCTCTTTCAATTGAACCCCAACAGTGGCGTTCCCTTGGTACCCACTTACCAAATCGATTTGATCTGGCACACTCACATGCTAAAGTCGTTGAACATCTACAATCAGGATTGCATTCAAATCACTGGGCAACGATTTCACCATGACGATTCACTCAACGACCGAACGGACGGAGGAACTTTGGACACGAGCTTTCAAAGCACGACAAGTCTCTGGAAGGAAGTCTATGGTATCAACTATGCCATCCCAGGCGGAATGTACCGGGGCGAACCGCCAAAAGACTACTGGAAGGCTCAATGGAAACCTTCGGTTGCTCCTGCGGTACCTACAGCTGTCGCCTCTTCGGCGGGTGTCAAGACAGAAGCGTCCGATTACAGCATGGGTGGCCCCCAAAACTGGCTGAAGCCAGGTGAAACCTACGAGGGACAACCAGCCTTTATTGCCGCCAACTCCAAGAGCAAAACTCGCGGTGTGAATTCCAACCCCCCAATAGCAAACTATTTCTTTGGAGATCCCAACACTCTGTCCACTGCTCTAGGACCAGGATACTATCACATGTACACACGAGAAGGGTGGAGCATCATGTTGAAGCATCTGAGTCCCAAGGTCTACAAGGCCAAATACGAATACGAAAGTTTTCTCTGCCGGGCATGCGCTTGCTCCCCCAAACGTTTGAGCAAACGAGACATGGTCAGGTACGAGCAAAAGGAGCAGGAGTGGCTTGAGCTGGAGAATCTGTTGTACTATTGCCAGGCGCAATACCTCGCATCTGGTCCGGGCTCCACAATCCCCACTGCTTACATCAACAAGTACGGACTTCGAAGCCGTCCTCACCCCAAAAGGAAGAACAGGAAAGGTTCTGGCGATGGCAACAACGCGGCCTGTGATGTATACGTTGCCTGCGGTGCTGCTTGTGGCGCCGCAGCGGCAAA